TTTGTTATTTTTTTTTTGGTCTTTCTTGTTCGCTTGCTTCGTTGTGTTATGTTGCTACCATTCGAGCACCTAACCGCGAGTTGGAGATAATTTCAACTCCATTATCGAGGAAAACAAAATTGACACTTCCTAGCATTGCACTTCTTAAATGTTGGCGAAACTCATGAGACAACATCCAATCCAACCACATATTCCGCACATCCTAGTTCTGAAAGAAGGTGGAGCTGGTCCGGTGCTGTCCGGGCCTTGCTTGCTCGGTGGTCCTGATCTGAGCCGATGTTCGACCTCGACAACTCTTCCGTCAGCATTCGCACAATAGACTTTGTGTCGTTTTGCAAGGTGTAGGTTCTACTAATGATAGTGTATTGTCCCTCTAATCGGTTTACGGAGAACGCCCTCTCAACGCTTCCAAGGCTCAACATTCACACCTCAATTTGTGAGCGATGTTTGGTGGTCAGCGAGGAGGTGTAAGAGGCGTATACTGCTGCTCTAGGGTCAGTTTCATGCCAAGAATACTACTATGGTTATGGTCAGGATGTATGTTTTACTTGCCTTGTCTCCTTGTGTGCCATGACTGCATCCTCCATTCTTCTACTGGCCACGAGGTTGTCTTGTTGCACCGTCTGCCCATGATCGACGCCGATCACTTCAGCCCTACAAATGAGTGTTGGTCTCTTTGGGCTGTCCTATCTTAACAAATCTGTTACATAGACTGTCACAGGGCAAGATACTAAGCTGTGAAATGTGTTGTCTGGGCTATATAGTGCGTGCTTTCGTAATCTTATTAGCAGACAGAACAACGATCTATCTCTTGTATGGTGTCGTGACTCAGTGGCACTGCACACCTATAGCCCGTATTATAGATGAACTGTACTATGTATAGTGCGAAAACTTTGGAGGTGGGAAGGTTGTTGGATACTAAGATCAAAGGTACTGCTTGTATTCGAGTTGAGGGACATTACTGCGTTTTGGCAACTGTGAAGATCAAGTATGGGCTATGACAAGTGAAAAGCAACTCGAAACTCTTCAGGCACTGAGACTTTGAGCAGTGACACCTGGGTAAGGTTTTAAACACTACTGGCCCTGGATAGATCAAAAAGAAGTGAAACAACGAAACTGTGCAGAACGTAGCCAAACAGTGACAGAGTTTTCAACTACCCATTTATGTGATGTTCTGGTTGGGCTCTCTCGCTCTCCAACCCAGATGAACACTTCCCTTTTGGGTAAATGAAGCACCAATGGCTAAGGAGCTTCATCGGTACATCACACAGAAGCAGAAATATTTCCAAAGCAGGGATGACTTTCCAACAGTTCGAAACGAGAGGCTTGACACGAGTGTTCTTATCCATCAAATTGGGAGATCGACAGCAAGCCCCATATCCAGGATTGATAAATAACAAAACTTAGGGACGATCGCATCGATAACATCACAAAAGAGAACACGTCAAGAAGTTGGGCTCTGGCTTGCCCTTTCGCGCGATTCGGCTTTCAGCACCCCTTATAAAAGGAGTTGGTGACGATCGGCGGACGTCTCGAGTGCGAGGCGAACGGCAAAGTAGGACACGATGACCGTTTTTGGCGCAACCACCCACCCACGTCGGCTGGCAGAACAATGATCATCTATTGCCTGCATGTGCAAGATAAGTGCGTTCGCGCTAGTTACCGCTGCGAAGAAGATGGGTTCGAATAGTAACCAAAAACGTCGCTGTGCGTCAGCCGTCGTCTTTTACAGCTCAGGTTGCCACACCAGTGGTTTCGAAGAATCGAACGTGTACCTCGTGCGATATCACGAAGCAAACATGCTCTCAGCTGGTAAGCATAAGGGGTAAAGGCCAAGCTGGAGAAGATGCCTGGTGTTCGGCCTGGAACCACGATTCATCGGACAGCCGACCATATAGGGCTGCAGGCCCTGGATGTAGATCGACGTTGCGCAAATGAAAGTGCCGGGGGTTATTTAATGACACCCTCAGTGAGACAAAAACGTGGTTTAGGGTAGTAATTTATACTCCCTCTAGTGTTCGGGGCGGCAGCAAAGCTGCCTTCCTTCCCAGGGCAAGGAGAGGCTGAATCCTGGGTTGGAACGTACACAGTAGAGGTAGCTCAAATGTAGAGGAGACCTAGATAAAAATGTAAGTTGATGCCGTAGTTAGTACACGCGGGACTTTGTATGGGGTCCGCCCACGAAAAGCATTCAACCCCTACGGTAATTGCCCCCTTTATCGGAACTCAATTCCGTCACTATGGGAGACGGCTCAAAGTCTTTGCATCAAGGTGGCTTTTGGCATTGAGTGGATCCTCACTTACATACAGAACTGTGACTTCGGGCAGCAGAAACCTTTGCAACTAATGGGTCAATTTGCACGTGTTCGCAAAAGGGGGTGCTTGCGACGGTAGGGGTAGTTACTGTACCCGGATTCACTTTGGCGTCCCAGCTCGTTGTAGGTATATATAAAAACGTTTGAAACGTGAGGCAAAAGAAGGTTTCCGGTGGCTCAAGCACAGGGTAGATGGGGCTCGAAAGTGAGGCGAACGAGACCTCTAATCGAACGAACCAGTAAGAAAACAAGCATTCAAACCGACCAAAGCTTGAGTACTACAACGCAGCATACCATGGACATGCAGAATTATGTGCCCTTGCAGTGGCCAGAGTAAATCAAGCGGTGTAGGCCCAACGATGAACAATATACTTGGTGACCCGATCTGGACGCCCCTCTTCGACAGCAAACATGCCAAATAGGCCATTGTCAGCCGATTGAGGCCTTTGGCGCTCCGTGCGCGAGATATATAACGAGACCTCTGCCCAGCTCTGTAGCTCGATACCAGCAATTGAGGAGTCATTGTCCCCTTGAATCATCCAGGAAGCCGAAATGTCGTCAATGAACAAGTACTGGATCCCACAATTGGATATCCACAAAAAAGTCATCACTCAAGAGCTCCAGTATTATCTGGGACCTCAAGCAACAGTCAGACCTTTTACTCAAGAGGTGTGAACCGGCCTATCCTTAAGCCTAGCTATGGCTGACAGAGGTGACTCCAGGGAGAAGATGGATTTCTGATCACGACACCCGGGCCATGCCTAAGCGATGTGAGTTGCCGGAGATTTCAATCCCAATCCGTAGCATGGTCAAAGCTGATATGAAACATAGGAGCAAATCGATGATATTTGCGTTAAGTCCAAAGAGATGTGGGAAAAGCAAGCAGCAGCTCGAGCAGTCGGGACGCCGAATAAACCTCTCAAGAGGCCGCTACATCAGCCCGTTGTGATAGCCCAGGCAAGCTCAGACGGAACAGAGCCCTCGAAGCGAAGAAGAGACGACCGACGGGATGACCGGCGAGATGACAGGAGAGGCGAGCGCAGGTGGGGTGAACAGAGGAGTCGACGTGACGACCGAAGCTGGTCCAACTAGAGACGCCGTGATTGAAGCAGGTAATCCACAATCTCGAGTGTCATAATTGTTCTAAAAGCAGGGCAGGAACCATATTGCTGGACACTGTGACCAAGTGTCTAGGCTAAGCGGATGGATTGAAGCATGGCAAGAAATTCCTGTGGATGACGGATGCATCATTCAGATGGAGTTTGGACCATAGCCGGCAAAGGCACAATGGCAACAAATGAGAATCCAGAATGTTCAATGCTGACGGCGTAACAAGCACATGCTTTATGTCGCATATATGGTGGATGATGATGGTGTTCTCCGACGATGGACCAGCAACAATGTGCCATCTGGCGTGACTGTGACCCAATGAACATCGCACCGTCTATGCCCATCGGATAAATGCATCCATATGTTGAGTTCCATATTAAGAATGATACTCCTCGGAATCTGAACAGTCTATGAGCGTAGCCCGACTGGCTATTTGCTGTTTTGAAGTCGTGCGTTTTGTGCATGACAAAGTTCGAGAAGCAAAGTACACCTTCCATCTGGTATGGAATGTCTTCGCCGCATCTATTACCGAAAGAAACCTGCGGTGTACCCAATTGCAGCATGGAAGTGGTCGATATCTCTGCAGAGATGCATCGTAAATCCAATGGAGATCTGAAGACGGTTTGACGTAATTTCGGCTCAAAACTCGGGTAGCGCCGTGGGCAGGTCCGTCGAAAGAGCGATCGATAATGGGAAAGCCTTTCTTACGTGGTGAAATAAAGAACTGGTGGCTGGGTCGGAAATCTGACTGATAGGCGCCACGGCAATGGGCCTTGAAAGAGGCGTTCTGGGACAATGCCGTGAGACTTCAAAGGAAGCTAGAACTGATCCGCTTGGCTGCTCCTGATATCCGGCACGGATGTTACCCGGAAGGTGAAAAGCAAGGCGACTATCCCAACGGCTTTGACAGGCAATGGTGGTTTGCACTCTTTCTCGCTGAGCCTCAAAGCATGAACGTATGCTTTGTTTCCAGAGAGGTCCAAAGTGGAGAGACATGCTCCCCTAACACCGTCATTGTCCGGTCTTGCTGGCTGAGTTTGGAGCTGTGATGCTACAGCAACTTTTCAGAGCATCTACCGATTCGTCGTATCGCTGTGTGTCGAGTGGTCCGGAAGACCAAATGAGAAGAGCGCGGATGCGAACCTGCGTCTGAACCCGTGCCTGAAATGTTTCGTTTTCTCTCATCGAGCCTTTCCTGGCGGGGAAGGGATTCACGGCAGTGACGTACCCAATCACGTTCACCCACTCGCCAATACGTACCTGGTCCGACTTGAGGGTCCGTAAGGCCAACGTTACGTCCACCAAGGCGACGACGCACCGAGAGTCCTGGGCCTGGTGGTGATGCTGTAGCGTCAAAACACCAGCCACCGTAGAGTAAGAAGTCACACTGGTATGCACCAATTAGTTATTGTGTTCATAGATGGCAGCTCTTAGGACATCAACGTGATGGCGGAAGTGGCATGGACGAAACTTGGATATCTGCCCAAGTGGAGGCGCAGGCTATAATGGTTCTCCCACGATAATGGATCCGTACTTCGTTTCCCAGGGTTGCTCAGAAAGGTTGGGAAGATCAATCGAGACAAATTAAAACCTTTGGAATGCGAAGAGTGTATGCTCACCAACCCAAAAACCGAACTTTGTCGCCTTCCTTCTTCAACGCTAAGTCTGGTAGCAAACATAGCTGAGACGGAAGAGGACCATTGGACATGGTCATCGAGGGAAGGACAACTACTAAAACGATATAAGCTTGGAAAGATTGGATGAAATTCCGCGAAGCTCATTCATGGACGGAGGAATGGTGCTTGTCAGACTTCCATAAGTCGTTGTATCAGTTCAAAGCTGAAACTATCCGTCTGTCATTGATGGTGAAGTTGTGGTTGAGTGAGAGTGCACCACCATTTCACACGACTCGCAAAGTGAGGGAGGTCACGCGGTCCGAGCTCCAGCAGGAGTGGTCGACTAACAACTCAGGGACTGACTAAGCAGCTGGAATCTATCACGTGCTAGTATATCCTTATCGCTCAAGGTGCGGCTGGGTACTCGGGACACGTGCAAGGATGCCGGAGGCAACGGTCAGTACTGTAGTGCACACTAGTTGTATGGACCACGGCGAATTCCAGGTGACCTTGCTGGTCCGATTTCCCGTGCATCATACGCGCGCCCGATAGGCAATCACATCAACCACCACGGAACAGTCGAGCGTTCGTCATCGCAGTGTTTAGGCTGCGACTTTAACCTCACTTTCATTTGTTTCCTGCGTCTTCAACCTGATACCGATCCGTAAACCGCAAATTCAGGTCAAAACATCCGCCAGGCGGCCAAGTGATTTCTGGTTGGGGAATTCAACCTGGTTTGCGCCCCGCCAACATTTGGAAAGTCGTCATCGCCTACCAAACGCCCAACGCCGTTCCTCGGCAGTAATTCCTTTGCTCGACGTCCCACCTTCCAGGCATCGTGACCTAGTCCACCTATTGTACAAACACCGCTCGCCGTCCCTATCATACGCACCTCTAGCGAAAAGACAACATGTCTGGAATTTGGGGTTGGTTTGGCGGGGGCTCAGCCGCGCAGAAACGCAAAGATAGCCCCAAGAATGCCATTCTCGGCTTGCGAACGCAACTGGACATGCTCCAGAAGCGTGAGCGCCATCTACAGAACCAGATCGATGAACAGGATGCCATAGCACGAAAGAACGTCAGCACGAACAAGACGGGTATGATGCCAGACCTGACTGGCTTTCTGCATGACTTTTGGCCGATAAGAAAGCTAACGTGTGTGATTGTCTCCAATAGCTGCGAAGCAAGCCTTGCGACGCAAAAAGGTCGCCGAAAGCACCCTCGAGACCACGCTGGGTCAGATCACCACCCTCGAGCAGCAAATAAATGCGATTGAGTCTGCCAACATCAACCGGGAGACCCTGGCCGCCATGCAGGCAGCACGTGAGGCTATGGGCAAGATTCACGGCAAACTCACCCCCGAGAAGGTCGACGAGGAAATGTTAGTGTTGACTTATACCACTTCAGCCTTGTTACCAACTATTGTGTCGATGCTAACCAACACTGTAGGGCGAAACTCCAAGAAGCGAACGATCTCAGCAATGAAATCGCCACAGCCATTACCAGCGCCAACATTGGACAGCCGATTGACGAGGGGGAGCTCGAGGACGAGCTTGAAAAGCTCCAGCAGGAGGAGGTGGACTCGAAGCTACACGAAACAGGTGGATCGATCCCTGTCCATGACAAGATCTCTCTTCCGGCAGCCGGAACCGGCGCACGTGAGTATCCCTGTATCGTATGCATAAGTGACGACTTTGACCATGGATTCGCTGACGCCTCCTTTAGTCAAGGGCAAAGAGAAGGCGAAGGCGGTTGTCGAGGATGACGAGGAGGAGGAGCTCAGAAAGTTGCAGGCCGAGATGGCTATGTGAGTCAGGCACGCAGGCCTAGGAGTATACAGAAGAGGAGGCATGGAAACGGGGATATACAGGATGCGATTTATGCGCGTGGCACCATGTCGGTACCGCTTTTCACTGTTGTGTCATTGGCTTTTGTTATTGGGAAGTAGGAGCTGGTTACGGTTGTTCCGTGTTTGTTTACCTCTTACTTTTTTTTTTCCTTTTCTTTTTTTCCTGTTCTTTCTGATTCCCTACTCTGTCCCTGCAGAGTTTCGACTCGTAAGACGAGCGGCGCTGGCGTTTTGGGAGGGTTGGCACGGTTTGGCATATGAGTGATAATTATGCACAGTAAGGGAGAGGAACAGGACTGGTTGGTTGGACTGGTTCATGTTGCACGCATTGTGGATGAATTTAAGATAATTTACTTATCCATAGTTATCATTCCTCCCCAAGCTTCTCGGGTAAGGCATGTACTACGTATATGCAGCCTAGACCAAGACCGACGCCGAAATAATTTCCGTGTTTCTGAGGTCGTTGATCCAAACGGTCTCGTGATCAACTGACAGACGATGTGTAGGCATGGCGGATCATGGCTGTTAGTAATCCGCATTCGCAGAGTTGTTTGTTGACTTTGACATGAAGATCTAGACCCCAAATATTCCAGATATAGTTTAATTGCACACCCGCTGTTCGTTCGTGTGCAACAGACCAAGGATCAGCGAGATGCTATGTCTTGCTGGCGGGCTCTCGCTGGTGGCCATGGTTCACGAAACGGAGGTTGGTCACACCGCCCTTTTTGGGAACGTCTTCACCTGACCTCACTTGATCGCTTTCGGTATCGAGGACAGCTAGGTTCGCATAACCCCTCCCGGGACTCGTGGGGTGGCACGCATTTGTAAATCTCCCCCTGCCCTCTGTGTTCCTGTTCCTGTGATTGAGCCTCAAAACCTGGGGTGCATAGGTACCGAGTTTCCCAGCCTCGCAAGTCGCAAGTGCGACAGCTTCCCCTGTCGAACAACAGCCGATTGGAAGGAGGAAAGTGGATTCGGCGGGCGGCGGCGGCGGCGAGGGCCTGGCTCGGCTGGTTATGTAAGAGTGACGCCGGCAAGTGAGTGCCCGGAAGTTCCACTAACCGTTGACCGCCCGATCACCGAGGTCTAAGTCTACAGTCCCGGCTTCTCGGCGCGATCAGTCCCATGGCTGTAAAGAGACTGGACGGATGTTGGAGAACACAAAAAGTGAAAAGCCTGTCCGGTGAACACTTTCATGAGTATAGTTACTGATACCAGTTCAGTGATCCTGTTGTCAGCTCCTGTGCAGACCTATGTATTCGTACATAGCAGAAGAAGCGGTTTGTTGGCGGGGTAGTGCAGCCAGGTACACATCCAATTAATCGTTAGCACCAGAATTCCACCGAAGCTTGTTGAATCGGTACCTGATTTAGTGCGTGTGCCGAGGAAACTTGGCATCTCCCCAGCCTTGCACAAACGCGGAACCCCCCATCACCATTTCCCGTTCTTACGGTTTTCGGGAACGAAGGAGCTCCCGCCCATTTGTAAAGGCCAGTCTGGCTCTTTTCCCGGAGTTTAAAGAGTCCGTATATCGGTACCTATCCTGTAAGTCATTCGAGTGTGGACGTAGTCGCACGTGGGAAAAAAAGGGGGAAGTGGGAAAAACGGGGCCGCGGATGACCGAGAAATGGCATCTTCTCGTCGTTTTCGGTCAGGTACAATGACGCTCGAATTCGCTCCCTCTGGACGACGATGGGGCCGGGCCCCTTGTGCCTGGTCCCCGGCTTCAGGGCAGGCTCCGAGCGAACCCCGACCGAACGAGCGAACGAATTCCAACTTCCACTTGCTGCGTTGGCGTGATGGACCGGGGCCTTGTTAGCTCGGCCCCTCGGACGCGGGGACCCTTGAATGGTTCTTGGCTGCTTGCCCAGCCTCGCTGGTTGTACCCTCCAGGAACCAGCCGCCCAGCTTCCGCAACCTCGACATTGCTTCCTCGACTGTGATGCAACGCTACGGCAGGATTTTATTAGTACCCAATTTCCACAAGGGCTTTTCTGAAGAAGCAGCTGAGGTGAAATTGGGCAGACGGCACAATTGGGTCGGGAATGTGGGCTTCTATGCAGCGAGAAGCAGAGGCAGAGATTTCTACCCGCTTTTGTCCTACCCGTCTTTTTGACCGGATGCTCACCCGATTTTTCGCATTTGAGAGTGTGATATTGATGGTGTGGGAGTGGCGGGCTGACAGGCCGTCTGCCGCCGTCAGGGTCACGTTCGTTCTGCATTTCGTCGCCAATCCCATCACGGCGATCTCCCAGCAACGACAAGCTGTTGGGTGCCCACGTAGCCTGATCAACCCGAACGCGTAGCGTACGCGGAAACCTTGATCGACGGGATGCATCTGCAATCTTGAAGTCAGCGTGTACACTACGATTAGCAGAGAGCACAGGCACCTTGATGTTGTCGAGATTTGGGGATATAGTGGCTAGCTATCGTCAACGTCAGCAAGTGCGTATAGAGTAAAGATCTAAGCTCCCGCTCGCCAGGTCTGCAGAGTTCATCATGACGCATCCACCCGTTGGTTTCATAGAGCACCATCATCTGAAGTGTTGTAAAACAGTACTTCAGACGACTTATACCCAATCCAGGAACAAGTTAAGCTCGTGCATTCTTTCCGGGAGGGGCCCAATGGAAGATATTGGCTGGCTTACCAGTGTCAGACCCAATGGCACCTGAATGTTTGGCGGTAGCCAATGGACTAGCTGCTGTCAGCCTCGCAGTGTTGCTTGATGGAGTGGTGTGCATCTATTATCTCTTGCGAGACATTGGCGCTTGAGTTCTGGACCATTGTAAAACACACCAAAATAAATGGACAGCAGCGTGTCGAGCTTATATGTGCCGGACAGGCGTCGTCCCTGTTGTTGTTATTGGTGATGCGGGTCTCGGATAGGCTCGAATCTGGATGTCTATTTTGAGATGACTTCATCTCTGGGATAGCTCCCGTGGTTGACCGTTGCCCGTCAAATCAGGCTTTTGGCGGCGGTCTCTTCCTCAGCTGATGAGTGCGAGACTGAATTACTCCATCATGAATCTGCAACGCCAAACGGCGCCATCATCCGTCACCACGACCAGCCCCTCAATATCGTAGCCGTCCTTTACTGGAACTACTGGCTCCGCCCGAGCGCGCTGTACCTGGGCCTTGTTGTTTTTTCCGCCGCTCATTTACAGTGTAGGTCGCTCGTTCCCCCGGTGCCATTGCGACGTGACACCACTGTAAAGCGCTTGGCCCAATGTTCTCGAGAGCAGTGACAAAGTGAACGTCGCTTGTGCCGGAGTTGGGTTGTTCGTGAACCGTGGGGTTGGTGTCTTGGGTGTCTTGCTTGGGTGTTGATGGGTCAACCTCAATTGCTGCAGAAAAAAGAGATCAGAGAGCCAAGGCCGCAAGGCGGGCGATGATTCCGATGCGGTGAGTGGTCAATGTGAAAGCGCTGGTGGAGATGTGGTGGGTCACTGCCCAATCTCACTTCGGCGCCATCCAATCGCACGGCAGGCTGCGAGCAATACGGGGAGCCGTGAGGAGCCGTGACGATGGAGAACCCTTCCCGATTGGAATTACCCCATGTTGCAAAAGGGAATTTGTTGACGACGTCGGTCCATTCGCGCGGCGGTACAGACCTACACTACACAATGAAAGAAGGGCAGAAGAGCCCAAAAAGGCCGAGGGAGTCAGCCCAGGGTATCAGGGCACGAGAGCGGAACGCCCGAACGAGAAGGGGGAAAGCTGTGGTTGTGAACTTGTGACCTGGTCGTGTCGAGGGTTGTTGTGTGGGCAGGTACCACTCGTAACCTTGTCGAGCCGGTGGTCCCATCCCCATCCACAAAAAGTCCACAAAGTCCACAAAGTCCACAACATCCACAGTTTTGAGTCCATTGCTCCTGCAAAACTCCAGTCGTGCCAAGCCCAGTCGCTTTTTTTCTTCTCGAAACTTGCCCAAGGGTCCCTTTTCCACTTGCTACACTCCAACCTCAACTCCCCTAGATCCCCTTTCCCTACGAGTTTCACCTGTAAAAAACAAACGCCTCCGAGTCATATCCCCCATTGCCGACCTGAAAAAGCGTTACGACTAACGAGGTGAATACAAACCTTTTTCTCTTCCGTCCTCTCTCATTCTCTGTATGCCTTGTCGTTGTTCGCAATCAGCTTCCCCTAGCTCATTGCCCCGCGCTATTTGTTCATCCAGCGGAAGACAGGTGCCCCAAACTCACCTCTTCATCTTATCCTCTTGGCTTGACCAGCTTGATTCTGATTCTGGGACCGTTTGCGCGACCAACTACAGGACGTGACACCACAAAGGCTGGCCATATTTGGCTTATACGATCGTCAACAACCACATTTTTAGACAGTTTCCCCTTTTCCGTTCCCACGCTGAGATCTTGAACGGAGGCCAAACACCGCCGTCCAAGGCTCCACCTCTCTTTGCCGTTCCCTACCTTTCTGCCGCCTACCGATACCCCGACGATACAGCACTGCATGGCGGATAGTAAGAGCACACCTCAGGCCCTCTCCGTCGTGACTTCTTCCGACAAGGCACAATCTGAGGTGACACAAAATGATGTCAACTACCACGATGGTAAGTGCTGTGTACATGGCCGAGCTGCATCCGAAGCGTCTCAGTCATACTGATCGCTGCTATAGATGATGACCTGAGCTCGCCCAGGTCTCCCACCTCTCCAGGCTCTCCAGGAGCTTCTCCCGCCTCTAAGAACGCCAAGAAGAACGCCAAGAAGAGGGAAAAGGAGAAGGCGAAGAAGGCCGCTGCTAGGGCCCTGGCGCTGGCTGAGGCCGAATCTCAGCCAGTAACAGAGTCTGAGGCTGCCCATGACGAGCATGAGGATAGCGGCGCCCCGAACGACGCCGAAAAGAAAAAGAAAAAGAAGAAGAAGAAGTCCAAGTCCAAGACCAGCAAGGACCTCTCGACATCTATCGCTTCCATCCTTGGAGAGCAGCCTGCGCAAACAGAGATTGCTGAACAGACACCAGAAATCAAGCCCGCCGTTGAGGAGCAGCAAGAGCAGCAAATCGAGGAGGTCAGCCAACCAAGTGAGCCCGCGCCGGAGCCTGAGACCGTGGAAGTTGAGGAGGCCGAGCAGCCCGTTGCCGACGCCCAGGTCGAAGAGTCCAAGCCCGAGGAAGCCCCTGCGCCAGGATCGACTGAACAGACACCGGCGATGACAACCGAGGAGGCTCCTACGGCCGTCACTGAACCCGTGAGTACCGAAGAGCAAGTTCCTGCCCAGCCTGAGGAAGAAACCACCACCACCACCACCACCACCACCACCACATCCTCCCAGGATGAATCCGCTCCGACATACGCCGAGGTTGCTGAGTTGAAGGAGGGAGACTCGCCTGCTTCCGAGGTTGTTGTACCTGAGGCTACTGAGGTCACCCCCGAGCCCGCCTCCAGAGTCGTTCTCGAAACCGACGAGGTCCGTGAAAGCGCCGAACCAGTCGATACCGAGGTCCAGATTGTCGAGGAGACGAAAGCCTCAGAAGTTGACAACACGCCAATTGAGAGTGTTGAAGCTCCTGAAGTCAAGGCTGAGGTTGAGGATGACGTCAAGGTCCCTGAGGTCCCCGCCCAAGGCAAGGGTGGTCTCTCTCACATTTTCTTCCATCTTCCCGAGACGACAGAAGAGGTGAAGGATACTGCTATTCTTATTTCTGAAGAGACCCAGGCTTCTGTCGAGGAGACTGATATCGAGGAGGAGAAGACCGAAACTCCTGTTGTCGAGGAGGCTGAGACCCCTGCTCCCGAAGAGAAGGCTGAGGCACCCGTTATTGAGGAAGTTGAGGCTTCTGCTCCCGAAGAGTCCAACATCGAGGAGAAGACCGAAACTCCTGTTGTTGAGGAGGCTGAGACCTCTGCTCCCGAAGAGAAGGCTGAGGCACCCGTTATCGAGGAAGTTGAGGCTTCTGCTCCCGAAGAGTCCAACGTCGAGGAGAAGACCGAAACTCCTGTTGTTCAGGAGGCTGAGACCCCTGCTCCCGAAGAGAAGATTGAGGCCGCCGTTGCCGAGGTAATTGAGGCTCCTGCTTCTGAGGAGACTGTCGAGACATCTGCTCTCGAAACCAAGACTGAAGCTCAGGAGGAGAAGCCTGAAACTACCGCCAAGGAAGAGGAACCTGAGGCTTCCGTCACTGAGACCCCTGTTGAGCAGGATGCTGAGGTGCAGGAGAAGGTCGAGGCCCCTGCTGCCGAGGAAAAGACCGAGGTTCCTGAAGAGAAGCCCGAGACGCCCGTTGCTCAGGAGGAAATCAAGGCTAAGATCGAGAAGCCTGTCGAAGCGGAGGAAGAGAACAAGCAGGAGGACATTGAGAAGTCTCCTGAGCCTGCCGCTGCCGAGAAGCCTGTTTCTGAAGATGTCACCCTTCCCGAGGCTGTTTCTGAAACCTCCGCTGTCGAGGAGTCTAAGACCGCTGAGGCTGAGCAAACCCCCATCGTCGAAGCAGTCGAGGCTGTGGAGGAGACCGAGGCTGCTGAGGAGCCCAAGACTGTCGAAGAGGCTCAGACCGTTGAGACTTCTGCTGTTGAGGAGGTCAAGGTTTCTGAGCAGGCTCCTGCTGTTGAGGAGTCCAAGCCCGTTGAGGAGACCCCCGCTGCTGAGGAGGTCGAGGTTTCCGAGCAGGCCCCTGCTGTTGAAGAGTCCAAGCCCGTTGAGGAGACTCCGATCGTCGAGGAGGTCAAGACTGTTGAAGAGCCTCAGGCCCTTGAAGAGACCCCCGCTGCTGAGGAGGTCGAGGTTTCCGAGCAGGCCCCTGCTGTTGAGGAGTCCAAGCCCGTCGAGGAGATCCCGATCGTCGAGGAGGTCAAGACTGTTGAGGAGCCTCAGGCCATTGAAGAGACCGCCGCTGTCGAGACCTCCGACGTTGAAGAGGCCCCTATTGTCGAGAACCCCGCTACCCAGGTGCCCAAGGCGGTTGAAGAATCCGAGTTCGTCGAGGAGACCCCAATCGTTGAGGATGTCAAGGTCGAGCAACAGGAAGTTGCTGCCGAAACCGCGAAGGGAGAGCCTGTTCAAGAGACTGCGGCCGAGCCTTCCATCGAAAGCGCCACCGAGACTGCCACTGCCGCTATTCCTGAGACGGCCCCTGAACCCGCCGTTGAGGATATCAAGCTGGCTATCACCGAATCCGCCACTAAGAACGTCGCCGATGCTGCTGAGGCTGTTGAGACTGTGGCTGAGCCGGACTCCCAGGTCGTTGAATCTACTCCCGAAGTCAAGGCTACCGATATCGCCCAGGTGGAGGCGTCTGAGCCCGTCACTGCCAAGGCCGACGAGAAGCCAATTCCTGTTGAGGAGACTGTTGGTGAGTCAAAGGCAGTATTGCCGGTTGATGATTCGATTAAGGACAAAATCCAAGACACAGTTGCTGCGCCCGTGCATGATGATGTCAAGGAGGTGGTTGTCGAGGAGCAGACTACAGGTGAGGACAAGACTGCCATTGAAGGGGAATCTACCAATGACAGCGTTCAAGTACCCACGGACGCCGTCAGCCATGAGAAACCTGCTAGCGTTCAACAGGCTGTCGAGGAAGCTCCGGTGGCAGAGACTCAAGAGGAAGCTACCGACAAGCCCGGGTCCTCTCTCAGCGAGACGTCCGTCACAAAGGATGTCGAGGAACCCGAGAAGAAGGACACCGACGAGAGCAAGTCCAATGCCACGGAGATCGCTGTCGGCGCAGGCATTGCTGTTGCTGGTGCTCTGGGAGCCGCCGCTGTTGCTGTTGCCGACAAGGTCACCGAAGTCTCCAAGCCCGTCACAGAAAAGGTCGTTGAAGTCACCAAGCCCATCATTTCGGATTCTGCACCAAAGGCCGCCACGCTCGAGCGTTCCGCAGCTCACGGTCAAACTGAGGCTGGCTCACTCATTGCCGAGCGCCCCAAGCCCGAGTCCAATCCCCAGACGGTCACTGAAGATGTCAAGTCGACTTCATCAGTAGAGGCTGAAGCACCCGAGATCGTTGATGAGACGGTGCCGCTCTCCGAATCCTTTCACGTTGTGGAGAAGGAAGCACCAGCTGAAGAAGAAGCTGCAAAAATTGATGGAAAGAAGGGAGCTTCTTCTGAAGATGGTGAGGAAAAAACAATCCAGTCCGTTGACCAGAAAGGAACACAGACTGATAACGCTCTTAATCCTCAAAGGCTCCCAACAGAAGACAGGACAACCAACCAGGTCTCGGTGGACCAGCGTGTACCCACATCTGCTGTCGTTCTCCCTGATCTTGACGATCCTGTGGCTCAGGAAGTGAGCCGCGCCCGCAATGAGCGGGGGCCGGACAGGAACACCATTAAGCAAGCAGAGGAGATGGTCGCAGCAGCAGTAGTCATCTACGCCACAGCCGATTCTTCAAGCCCAGCTGCCACTGCCACAGCTGACAAGCCGGAAATTAACGCCCTTGGTCTCTCAGGAGTGCCTTCCGAGGCGGATGTGAAAGGAAAGGGGAAGGATGTCGAGCCTCCATCACCCACCGCCAGCAAGGACGCTCACATCAAGAACGTCGAGACCGCATCGGACCCGACCATTGTTCAACAGGGATCCTCTTCACCGGAGCTTGGGCGGTCTAGCACAACAAGACTGCGGAGATCACTCAAATCGAGGGAATCCCAGGAAGCAAGCAACAAGGAGAACAAGGGCACGGAGCGCGGACACAGCAAGAAGAGCTCGATCTCATCCGTCTTCAAGTCCAAGAAGCAATCATCCACTGCATCGGACGAGTCTGTGGAAGCTGTGTCCCCCACTTCGTCGGCTGGCGGTACGGACCCTTCGTCACCGACACAGGCCGCCGCTCACCGCCAAAAAAGGGAAGAGCGAAGGAAAGATGCAAAGGAAGGCAAGAAAACTGGCTTTAGGGCTGCCATCAGGCGCTTCTTTGGCAGCAGTTAAAGGCCTGACACTTGGGCTTGTTACTTTTTTTTCGGATTCAGGGGGTGGCTGCTATGGTTTAATAATCGGCATGTTGGTTTGATGATAATGATGAGGCGAACATCTACCTCTGCTTAGTGTTTAATGATGAACGGGGGGCGGGAGCGGTGGTGATGGTGAAGATCCCACGTGCTATACGAAGACTTGGAACAGCAAAGAAGAACAAGAAGAAGGAACGAGGAACGATAGTTGTGTATGTTATGGCTACTGTATTTGTCATTTCGGTTACCGGTTTTCTTTTTTCCAGAACACCCGTAAGGGTTGTTACGTTATGAGTTTACGAATTGATTTGTGGGTTTTCCCTCTTCTCAAACTTGTTGCATGCTCTTTTGGCGATGACGCTGCATGCTGCTGGCGGCAGGGCCGACATGTGAATACTGCTGTTGCCGGCCGCCCGTTCAAATGACGATCAAACTGGGCAGATAGCTGAGTTTGCTGGTGAATACGTAGCCGCCCTGCCTGCCGCGAGAGCCCAGTCAGGGTCGCAAGGAAAACCCTTGTACCTCCGTCAGCCTTGCAGGAGGTGGGTCGCATCCGTGGAGGGATGAGGCCGCTTTCATTGTTTGGCGCTGAACACCACTAAAAAGCACCACCAAAACACGAACGATTGACGAGAGCGCCCTGCCTTTGCTGCTGCTCCTATTGATCCCCGACACACTTCCTCTTGGTTGCTCTTTGGGTCTTTCCCGCGGACGTATTCTTCTGTCAATTTTTTTTTGCCCAAGGCACCTTCTCATGCAATGTCCAGGTGACAAAGAGTCAAACATCCCTCTACGACTCAAATCACGACCGACAACCAACCCAACAACCGATCAATTGAACGGAACATCATTGACGGTCTAGCTAAACACGATAGACACGACACTACAAACTAAAATGTCCGACCTCCTCTCCCTCTTTGGTTGGACATTTCTGCCCAACCTCGTCACCGGCTGGGTCCAATCATTCTACTACAGCGTTACCATCCGCGCTGGCTCGCCGCGCCCAATGCCGGGCACACCTCGATACGCCGAACATCGCCGGCGCATCCACATCTTCGTCGTGGCCGTTTACCTCCTATACACCATTTACGAAGCCCACTACGAGCTCGTCGTGCGCGGCTCCAACTTCTACGGAGACCTAGGCGTCAGCCCGGACGCAAGCGAGCGCGAAATCAAGAGCCGGTTCCGCCGGTTGGCGGCGCTTTACCACCCCGACAAAGTCGTCACCGGACAAGGACAACAAAGCCAAGAGGAGGTCAACAATTACTTTGTGCACCTGAAGACGGCAGTGGACACGCTTACAGATCCCGTGCGCCGGTTTGCGTACGAGCGGTTCGGCGTCGATGCTGTTGCTTGGGCCGGGCCCAACGGGAATGGCAAAGGAGGATGCAAAACCCACCGCGACTTCGTCATGCGCGGCGCACAGATGTTGTTGTCATATTACGGCTTCGCGGCCGCGGTGCTGTACGGCCTGGGCCAGCTGGGATACCTGACGTGGGGAAAGTACGAGAGGTGGCTGGTGCTGGCCAGCATGTTTGTGTGGGAGGCGCACATTGTTATGAGCCCAGGCAGGCCGGCGGTATTTGAACACTTACTGAACCCATTGCTACAACGGGTGACGGGTGTGATGGGCAGGTATTATTTGCCATTCCAGGCGGTGGCGCTGATGAGGAAGGTTAGCGTCACGGTGTATATTGCTATTTCGCAGATCGGCCCGTTGTTGACGGCGGATACGTCCAGTGGGCAGTTGGTTGCGAAGAACAATGGGGCGGGAGGAGGCGATCAGGAGGAGCTGCTGAAGCAGGGACTGGAGAGGCTGGAGATGACAATTAGAGGGCTGGATCAGGATATGTCGAGGTTGGTGGAGCTCGAGATGGCGCCGTTTGCGGGGGACCAGGAGGCGCTGAGCAGTATGAGGGGGAAGATCAAGGAGTGGTTGGTGCAGAATACAATTAAGAATGACCCGATGGTTAGGGATGCTTTGGGGAGGGGGTTGCAGAGGAGGAGGGTGGATGCGCCGGCTGGAGCGAGGGGAACGAAGTGAGACGTTGTTGATGATGTTGTAGCAGGTTCTAGTTCACATTTCTTTTCAATTTACATTTGAGATTATTTCAGCAAAGCGGTCAGTCAAGCATGACTGGGCTTATGACCATCTGAAAGGCATTTGCTGTGCATTCATTGACGGTGCCTGTTCACCTCCATAACGTCTTCCTTGATGCCTGTCCTACCCAACACTTCTGTCTGTGATGGGAAATAATGTTCTCCCGGTCCTCATTTTTCATGACTCTTCTGACGATCTCTTCCACCACCCATCCAGCCATCACCTCACCATAACATCACAACCTCTGCCTACCCCTCGTCTCAATAGGAATCAACACCATCCCTACAAACGCCGCCAGAATCAGCGCCGCCGACAGATACACCGGCGTGGTCCTACCATCGCCCGGCACCGTCGCCGCCAAAATCGGTGCTACTAAGCCCGTCACTCTGTTCAAGAAACTCGCCACGCCCGTGCCCGCCCCCCGGACCGGTGCCGGAAAGATCTCGGGCGTGAAAGCGTACAGGACGCCATACATGATGTTCTGCGCGAACGCCTCAATACACGAGAACGTGAGGAGGGCAGCCGATGTGGTACCGAACTTGATGAACAGATACAGGAAGATAGCGGAGACGAGCGTTGAGAGGGCCAGGGTTCCACGACGACCGAAGAAGGGCGAATTCATGTCCACAGCGTAGGCGGCGAGCAGGCTACCCGGAACTCCTGCGATGGAGGTTATGGCGTAGTTGCGGTAGGTTTCGGCTGAGATGGTTTCTGGACTGTCTATGTTAGTGCTTGTTTCCGGTGCTGGTTGTTGCCCGCCGTTGTTGCCGCCGTGGGATAGATACTGTGGGAGAAAGGCGTTGAATAAGGGGTATCCCATGCCAATGGTCGCCCAGCAGAACCAAATCAGGACGGTAGTCAGACCGAGTTTGCGACTGCTGAAGAGTGGGCGGAGACGATTGCTTGAGAAAGAGGCGAAGCGCTGCTTGATGATGTTGGCGGTCGATAGTCGTTGTCGGGTCACATGCTGGCGGCGTCGAGGAGTAGCTGGGGATAGGGATGATAGTCCATCGACAACAGCATCGAGAATCTCCTCAGTCAGCCACGTCTTACGACCGTTGCGGAAGGCGATTCCGTGGACGACGGCCACTGCCTCGGCTTGTCGGCCGCTTGAGAGGAGGAACTTGGGAGACTCGTATAGGTGGAAAATGAAGAAACGGACGAGGAACATAATCAAGGTGATGATGCCGATGCTGAACACAAAGTGTCGCCATCCTTGCTCGGCGGGCAAGTGGCCGATGAAATACCAGGCCAGCAATGATGAGCAGAGTTGGCCGATGGGCCACCAGACAGAGAGAAGCGTCAGCAGGGAGCTGGAGGCGTCGGGCAAGAATTCGAGAAAGAGGGCCCCATCAACGGGCAAATTACCGCCAACGCCAAAGCCAAGAGCTGCGTAGAGGAAGCAAACACCAGCCCAGCTTGTTGCAAAAGCAGAGGCGATGCCGAAGATGGCGGTGATAAACAGAGTTGCGTTGAAGGCGAGGCGTCGACCTAGGACATCAGACCCGATCCCCCAGATGAAGCTGCCAACACAGAGACCGGCGAATAGGAAGGACGTGGTGTAGCGAACGGTCTTCTCTGATATGTCGAACTCGGCTGATAGTGATGGGAGGGTGAGAGAGATGCCTTGCATCCATAAACTGTGTGGAACTGGAGTTAACAACGGGTTGATCTTGTGGATTTTGAAAAGGGGCCTCATACTTGTCGGCAAACCAGCCAAAACCACACAAGACAAATAGTTGCCAGTTGTACCTCCCCATTCCAATGTCCTGAACGGCTTTGTTAATGAGCTTTGATTTCACTACGAAGCAGTTTAGCATGAATATGTCCGGTAAGATGGATAGTCGTGATCTCACTCTCATAGTCTGTCCACTTCTCGCCGCCCTTGTTTCCACGGCGAACCTCTCTCCTAAAGCCCTCGATGCTGTACTCAGGTTCCGTCCCCATTTCTAGCAACATGCCCGTGTCCTCATCGTCGGCTGGGTCCTTGTGACGATGGCCGCCCTCGTCATCATAACCGAGTACAGCATCGTCTAGATCAGAAGGCGGACGGGATCTGGACGAGTGGCTGTGTAGATGTGCCTGCTCGAGTGGAACGAGCACTCCCGGATAATCATCAACCGATTCGGAGCGGTAACCATACCAAAGAAGGCCTGCCATGGTTTTCCTTTACAACGCCGGGTGCGGCTCACAAGCTAGTAACATCAGCTCTTGATCGTTTTCGCCTCCAATGGGTAATTCTTCGTAAACGGCCGTATAGTCGTAACCATGGAGAGCGAAGAACAGCGAGACGGGATGTAGATGGTCAAATAGTTGGAACGCAGGATACAAGAAAAAAAAACCAAGATGCCGGAACGACTCAGAGGCCCAAAGTAAGGTACCGTGTTGGTACCGGGATGTATGAGACGAGCGTGGGGATGGGATCCCGGTGATCAAAGCGGTTGGCGTCGCTGGAAATGGATATTCTGGAAGCCTTCAAAGAAACTTTATGTGGTAGGCTTTATGGCCATCACATCTTGAAGCATGGAGGTGATGATGATCTTGTTCACAGAAGTTGGATTTTCGTGTTGGACGGAGGTGGTTCCTTATAAGGAGCTCCCGTCAGGTGCTCCCACTGTCGTCAGGACAGGTTACACTATATGCAGGTCGGCGAATTAGGAAGTTGTAGGGTGCGCTCCCCCCCGCTAAATTAAACCAGCTGGTCGGTACCTTCCAGTACCTCTATCTCCATATGCTCACTAAAACTGGTCACGCGTCACTTGGTTGTTTTGGGGGGTCCTCCTGTTTTGTCCGAGCTTGTTGTGGTCGGGTGCGGCAGTTTCCGACCGATTGCAGGCACCCGACCTGCACGTTCTTTTCATTGTAGTTAACCATCATGTTTACCACTCAGAATCACCACAACTACATGGACCAATCTCAGCCTCCGGACATGGCCTGATGCTCTAGATAAAACCATACACTCACAGTCGACTCAAGTAAAAGGTCTTCGAAGACATTTGGTCAACTTCGTCACAGGATGGAGCGCTATCTGATCAAGAAGACATCTCCAAGCGCCGGTCTCAAACGCAAGGCGTCAGACAGCCCCGCGAATTCTACGCTTGCTCCTGCTAAACGACCGCAACCTCTTCGTCCACACGAATCCCGCTCGAGTGCAGTTGATATTCGCGGCCAAGGAGAGAAATATGTGGGAATTGAATATGACTCTTGGAAAGACCAGATCACGGCAAGCATTGACCAGGCCCGCTCCGCAACCCGCTCCAAAGAAGGTGGTATCAAAGTCTTGGGGGCCCTTCTCAAGGTACGTTCCACTTCTATATGCAACTGAGGAGATTAGGTACACAATACAACATATAAATCCCCCCACTACCTATGCTGTGTTCGGCAGCATGTGTAAGATTTCGCACCTCTTTTACCCGAACATCATACCGAACACCATTCCAGTACACCTCGTCCTCTCCTCCGCTACCACTGTATAGGTAGCATCTATCAACAAGATGGACACATTCCGCCGACTTCCACCCAGGAAACGGCTAGACTGTGACCCGGACAAATCCACGTTACGGGTTGGTGCTCTGAACCTCGGTCTCAAGCATGACGTCGACATCTCGTACTGCACACCTTCCAGAGGCTGAATGACCATCTTTTGGTTTCGTTTTCTCTGCTGACAAGTCTGTAAACAGGCCATCAATGCTTGCCCTTGTAAGCCGGGCAGTCACGGCAATAACAAGGCCTGCCATATCTCGCAATGCGTGACTGCTGTGTATGAAGAAAGTCCCGATGCTCTCCACCGCGCTGCTACGGAGCCATGCTCTTGCGGCTTTGTATGGCCATCGTGTACCGACCTCTTCCATATCCGCGCCGTCGACTCCCTGGCCGATTCTCTGGACAAACAGGAAAAGCATGTCGCCGCATTTTCCACTGCCCTCGGTCTTATTCGCTTGGATCCCGCCCACCCCATAGTGAGTGGCTCGACCACCTCCAACCTCGCGTCCAAGTAGAAATCCTAACAGCTCCAGGGGTATTGTCGTGTCGCCAGACTCCTTCGCAACTTGACCAAGAACAAAGACAAGCAGACGTCAGCTCTTGCACTTACTACCATACTGCGAGACTCTAAACTTGACCCTTCCCACGATGTACACGATCTCACTGTTCGGTTCGTCAGGTCCGGGCTTTACAACATGGAACAGTACCGGCGGGGAAAGTATAATCAGTACCATGTGAGTACAAGCAGTCTTAACATGCTCTCGGCGCGTGGACATAAAGCTGATAGCCTCGCCAGTGGCTTCTGCGTCAATTGTCCAGTATGCTAGATATGCCCGAGTCAAAGAGAGATCCAGTAGAGAAGCTCCCGCATGAGCTGTTAACTATGATCTGGTCACATCTTGACACCGACAGTTTAATGCAAGCTTCCCTCCAACATTTCCTTTTTGTTTCTTTTTGTTTCTTTTTGGGGCTAATGAACCCTCGTGGTCTACAGGAGATGTGAACGTGTGAGCAAGAAATGGCAGAAGCTGGTGCTTTCCGATTCGGTGCTCTGGAGCAAGGTCTCGCTGGGCCGGCCCGGGAAACCGGGTCGGTTCTTTCCACAGTTCCTCAAAAAGCACAAGAACATCCGGTCTCTGACGATCAACGACACTTCATATTTCAAGATGACTCACGACAAGCTTCAAATGATTATGCGTGGTTTGCCCAGCTTGGAACGGCTAAGCCTCCATAGACGCATGCGTCTAAACAATCCCGATGGTCCCGAGGATGTTCCAAAGTTGCTTGGGGGCGTGCAAGGGAAGCACCTGACAAAGCTTACACATCTCTCACTCAACAAACTAGACGCCCATACAGCTGGAGAGCTCCTACCGCTCATAAGTCCGTCTCTTCAAGTTTTGGACCTACAAGGCTTCTCGGGGAAGAATCTCAATGGCATCATGACCCGACAGCCTTGGCCGAGTCTGAGAAAGCTACGGCTGAAGTTGTCGGATGATGACTACGACCCAAGGATACATCTCGGACAGCTGAATATGGTCAGTAACTTGCCTCCCACACTCATCTGCCTTACCCACTCGCTTACCATTCAATCTAGAACGGTCTAATGAATTTAGCTCCACACCTTGAGGAACTTCATATCAAGGGCTACGGGCTAAAGTTTGTCGATCTTGGGCTTCACGACATGCCTTTCGACAAGGTCCCTTTGAGCGACGTACAACCATGGCAAAATTTGCAGTCTCTATATATCGGCTCAGTCAGGAGTCACGACCCTCTTGAAGACATATTTCAGGGGTCTTTTGTTTTGCCTGCTTTACCAAACCTCCGCTCCGTTGAGATCCTTTCCGATAGCGCGCACCTGATCGATTATCTCTTTACGACATGTGATGAGCCGGGGAGCCCGATACAGGGTTCTTTGAATGATTTCACAGGAACTACTGCGGAGTCGGGCATTGCTTCGGCGGGCTGGCCACAGCTGGAGGTGTTCAGGTGCCATGGCCCCATATGCACCGGTATACTGCGAAAGGGTCTGGCGGAAGCAGCCACAAATGGGTCGCTGAAGGTCCTTGAGTTGGCTATCAACAGCGACCGGTCACTATTCAATCACCGCATCCAGGTCGATCTTCTGAAAGACTGGGCTTTCACGTCGTCACCGAGCGTTCACCATCTCGGACTATACCACTTCAATTGGGCCCAGCATTACAACAGTTTTGATGGCGAGCCTTTTATCGACTGGCTGCAACAGTTCCCCAACCTTGACACGGTAACGGTCGCGCCGGGACGTCATAGTGGTCTCTTGCCCTTCATCGAGAAGTTGATCACCCACCCGCAGATCAAGGCATTGTACTTTGACCCCACGGGCCTCTCGAGCCCGGAATGGTACGAGATAACCGAGGTGGGGAAGAAATATGGGGTGAAAATGTTCAACTTGAATGGAGGACCTTTGCGTGCCTTTGATGGAGGTGATTTCGATGGCGCGAGACCGAATCTCGGACTGAGGGTTTGACAGGTACGATTGGGGAGACATGCGGCACTCTTTCCGCTCGCATTTTCTGCATCAAATTGAGCTCTTGTTGCCTGCTCAACCCCTATCTAAACTTAGGCCGAGTGACGGCCCAGCAGCAATAAGCGTTGGACAGCATAAGAAGGTACATAGTGAAATGGATTAAGGTTATCAAGTTGATCTATCTATGATCTCGTATGTACTCGTCGGGGTTAGGTTGATGTGCTCTCCAGGGTGGCCTGTGCGTGCACCTACTAGCCGACGAGTGTGTTAACGTTGGCTAAATACATTAGACATAGGCATTCGTATCCACTCGTGATCGGTTTAACAACCACTGATTCTCCCACAAGAAAGGTATCTCTAGTAAAGTCGAACTTCAAACAGGGTCGAGATGAGACAGACGCCGACGGCGAGAAGAAGAAAACATCTGACTCAGCCTGAACGACACCAACGGGCGGGGACGTTGGTGAAGTGGCCCGGTAGATGTGGCCCGAGCTCCGAAAGGGTCTCTACCTACTGTTACAGTACCTAAAGGTACCTCTAGGTAGGTGCCTCCGCGGCGCATACGTACTTCCGTATCTAGCGCCTGTGCATGGTCCCTGCAAGCTGGAAATTGGCTGTTGTTGCTGCTTGGTTTGGGTGACAGCAGTGCTCTCAATTAGGTTGACCGCCCGCCGCAACCTACAAGTAAGCTGTCTCGCTGCATGGCAGAATTTCAAATGCGACAAAGGTGAAGGCATCCTGACCGTCCACTTGTTCCAGGCCAGGCCACCTAGCATCGACATCCTCTCCGCCTGCCTCTCGATTTCATTCACTCATTCGCTTTGGTACACGGAAAACCGCGGCGCGCAACTTCGTGGGCAGGGGGGGAACAAACAAGAGTCCAAAGTGCCAATCGCAACATCGCTCTTCTTCAACGGTTCGAGATTGTACGTCCTCCATGTTGATGTGTTCACTTGTCGGCGGTTTGCTACCAAGCTACCTACCTACCTACCTTTACCTGTTTCCACTTTCGGTCAGCCCTCAAATTGTTGAACGACATCGCCATCATCCACCTCTCACTTCGTCATCGCTTCCGTCCGCTCTCGACTGCCACCCCGCCGCGCGCTGCACCCTCCCACCGCCCTCCCCGATATCCAGAACAAACATTAACTTCTATCACACAGCACCCGCGATCTAAACTCTCGGGACTCGAGAGCCAGCACGCGCGCCGCGACGTTGTCAGCCTATACCATTGACCACGCCGCCTACACCTCTTGCTGAACACTACCACGATATAAAGTGTCGCTTGACTTTTCCACACGTCGTCCACCTGCCCGGGCATTCACCTACGCAAATGCTTGCTCGAGCAAGCCACAATGGCGGCAGCTAACAATCCCTTCGGGGCGCCTTCAGCTCCGGCTGTCAACCCTTTCGCGAAACCAATCCAAACCGCACAGCCTACCCAAACAGCATCGGTTTTCGGAAGCTCATCAGCTCCTAACCAGAATCCGTTCGGGAAGCCTTTCTTGAGCCAGGCGCAATCGTCCGCGCGGAGCGCCAGTCCCTCCCCTTTCACTCAGAATCCTTTTACGAAGCCAGTAGGACCGACGAATTCTGCGGGCGGAAACAAGTCCCCATTCTTTGGCGCGCAAACCACGACACAACAAGCAACAGGCTTTGGGGCGGCGAATGCCAATCCCCAGAAAGGACCACAGGGCTTTGGCGGCGGAAAGCCGTCTGGCCCCAACAATGGATTTGGAAATTCGCAAGCCAGTCAAATGTTTGAAAAGGGAAAGGCCACGCGGCAGCAACCACCACAGTCAGACGGCCGTGATGCTGGAGCGGCACTAATGAATAAGTTCCAGCGCGGCCAACGAAAGAACAATGAGCGCCCCGCAAAGACCCAGCCGAATGCGACGCGTGCTGTCGGCATCAATAGCACATCTGGCGCACCAACTCGAGAACCGACCGAGCGTACACGCGAGTTGTCCGAATTTGCTTACAGCTATCACAACAGAATCAATGACCAGCTTAAAAAGGACAATCTGAAGCCACCGCAGTGGCCGACGACTGAACTCGGCAATCCGAACAAACGTGACGATGTCGAGAACCTCAAGCAGTCATTCAAGAAATACCGTACTCGCGTATACGATGCCCTACGGAAAGTTGAGCTTATCGATGACCCTGAAAAGAGGAGGAAACTTGAGGATGCGTTGCCATTTAAGGGTATCTGTGAGGATATGTGCCCGGAATTTGAGCAGATCTCCCGTATCGCCGAATTCGATGTCAAGAATGAAGAAAAGGAAACCCAACCCGGCGGGCTCACAGCATGGCCAGAACCTTCGAAGATGGTGAAGAAGTTTGGTCGATCAGCAGCCGGTCAAGATGCGCCACTCCCTATGGATGTCCGTTCCATCGACGCTTTACGAAGAACCACCGACTATCTCTTCAACGATCTTTTACAGTCTGAGAACAACCTGCCATCTATGCACAACTACCTCTGGGATCGTACACGAGCAGTACGTAAGGACTTCACCTTCCACTCGCAAAAATCGGCAGAGGAGATGAAGGACATGGTTTACTGTTTCGAGACGATCACTCGCTTCCACGCCACGGCTCTTCATCTGTTGTCCCGGAAGGGGTTTGCAAATGAGGATTTCGAGCAAAAACAAGAGATTGAGCAACTGGGCAGGACCATTCTCTCGTTGATGGAGGCATACGACGTCTGCAAGGAGAAACACGTTCTTTGCGAGAATGAGGCGGAATTCAGAGCTTATTACCTACTTCTTAACGCACACGATCCCTCTATAGCACAGAGGATTCGTACGTGGGGAAAGGAGTATTGGTTCGAGTCCGAAGAGATTCAGACAGCGCTGTCTCTCATCCAAGTCATGGAAGACTTGCGGGAGTCAAAGGGACCCATCAAGCCACGCCGAATGACGACCATGTCCGACACCGCCTTCACCAATTTCTTCGCCATCGTCGAAGACCCGCGAGTGTCATACACCATGGCCTGTATTGCAGAGGTCCACTTCACCTTTGTCCGCCAATGTATTCTCAAGAATCTTGTCAAGGCTTATGCGCGCCAACGCGATGCTCCCAGGACGATCACTGCGTCCGATCTCAACAAAATGTTGAGATTTGACACTGATGAGGAGGCCGTTGCCTTCGCCGAGGAGCATAATTTCGAGTTTACCACTTGGGTGCCCCCGGGAAAGCCAGCGGTGTCCGAGCCATACCTACTCCTGAATAGCAAGAGGAAACATGTCCCATCGCCTAGAGTTCCCCAGTCCTACTCAGGACTGATGGTTGAGCGGAAACGAGGAGGACAATCGTTACCCTACGTTATATACAACACGATCTATGAAGATATTGCCGACAATACATCTGCCAAAAGGGGATCAGATGCTAATGGCGGCGGTCTCTTTGTTAACCCTCATCAAGCTTTGCCTGCTTTTCCTACCTCACAAGTCAACAAACTTCAAGATGTCGCAACGTCAACACCATTCACGTCCATGTCTGGAGCTGTACCGCCCATCACCAAGACGCCTGAGAACATCCCGATGTTCCAAACAGCGGTAAAAGATTTCGGTGCGCTCAGCCACCCTTTTGCAGGAAGTGCTACCACTAACCCGCCTCAAGCAACTGGTGCAACGACCTCGAGCCCCTTTTCTCGCCCTTCGCCAGCGCAACAACCACAACAGGTCGCAAATCCGTTCTCCATGTTCGGTCAACCTTCAGCTGTGCCACCAGCGACTCAAACGCAAAGTCCGGCCCCGGCTCCCAAGCCTACCGGTGTCTTTGGACAGGCCTCTCAGACCCCACAACCGACATTCGACTTCCAACAGTCTCGAACCGCGATCTCAGCTCCAGGTTCTTCGGCACCCACTGCTCCAACAGCAGATACAGATACATCAAAGCCTGTTACGTCGACTTCGCTTGGTCCGGCCACTTCCGTTTTTAATTCAGGCAGTGCACCGACCAACCCGTTCGCGTCACTCTCAAATCAGAATCAGAGCACTGCTCCAACCCAATCCTCAGAGACCACACAGCAAACGTCTTCAGGATTTACGTTTGCTCCAACAGCACCTAACCCTGAACCTCTCCCTAGCTTCACTGCAACCGCAGGAACAGAACAACAGCAGGCCAGTACCCCGGCGGTGCGTACGCAAACCCAATTGCCAGGGACGCCTTCGATGATATCGACAACACCCTCCGTCTTCTCCGTCCCTCCCAAGCCAGTCGACAGCACAGCGCCCACTCCACCCGCAACACAGCCTTCAACAGTCTTCGCTCCGCAGGCCGCTTCCAACTCACCTTTTGGGGTCAAGGGCACATCCAATGATGGTGCTCCTTCATCTTTGTTTCCTTCGGCACCGCTTCCGCAGCCCTCACTATCTACATGTGCGCCTTCGCAATCTGCTCCTTCTCCTCCAAGGGATTTAATGGGTGATTTCTCGAAGTGGTTTGTCATGGGTGATGGCGGTTTGCTGGAAGAGTTTACAGCCCACTACCTCCAAGAATTGGTCGAGGGCGCCTTCAATCAGCACCTGAAAGAAGAAGCTGACCGCAGGCGCAGGGAAGAAGATGAGCAGTCGTGGAGAGAAGCACGTGCACATATGAGAAATCGGCTACAGCTCAAATACTTCTACCGGTGGCGGGAAGCTGCCAGGAAGTTGGCACAGAGACGAATTCTTCGCGAAGGAAAGGAGAGGATGCGACTATACAGAGAACAGGAGCAGCGTGCGCGAAAGAAGAATAAGGAAGATGAGGAGATGTTACGCAACCAAGAAAGAATAGAAGCCAAGAGAAGGATTCAGGCTGACGGATCCCGACTCAAGCAATTGGCGCTAAATGCTTCCAGGGTAGGGCGAGGCCAGCAGCAAGTTGAGGAAGAACTTCTTGCCAGCGGCGTCTTCTCTGGGGCGCGTGATGAGCGCGCAGCCGTCCGCCGAGCCATCAAGGAAGCAGGGACCAATGGCGATTGGGGCTCTCCACAGCCAGGGAAAACGTTTGGATATGGTTCCGAGTCAGGTTTCAAGCTTGGACGGGCGCCATCAACGGCTTCCAAATGTCGGGATACTGGGAGTCTCAGAGACTCACTGGCAGGTTCACCGGAAAGCACCGGCAGCAAAGAAGGTGGCAAGACGCGAGCACTGCGCGAAAAGTTTGGTCTGGGAGGCCCTAGGAGAAGCTTCTCATCCGCTGGCGGTAGCTCGGTTCAATCTTCCATGGTCACCAAGTTCCGCCATTCACTCAATGGAATCGGCGTCAATGGTGGGAACAGCATGATCAAGCGAGCGAGCAATTTCTCCACCCCACGAAAGCGCTCGATCGAGCCTTCTCCAGCTACTGAGGGTAGAGATCCCAAGCAGCCACGGAGATCAATGCTGGGAATGAGCATGGCAAACACGAGCCTGCCCAACATCAGCCTGAGACAAGGTACCAGCACCAACAGTCCGAAACCTGAGGGATTCAAAACTAGTCACTGGGATCTCAGGGCCCGCGGGCTGGTGCCGATGCCAGACGGGCAGTGGCTCCCGGAAGCCATTGCCACCGCCATAAAAGAAGGCAAGCTCAAACCACCTAGTCCTCCAACTCGCCACAACTCTTACTCGCCCGCCATCCGACCATCGACCGAACACGCCATCATGTCGGATGACGACGAGTCTATGGGCATGGGTAGCACCTACGACAACGGGGACGATGTTGAGGTGGATGATTCTGCCTCCATGACCAGCTGGCGCTTGAGGGTCGCCAGACTCACCGGCTCCACTAGTCTCGTCCAACAACATCTCCAAACACCCAAGCAACCGCCTGCCGACTACAGCACCTCTAGCAGACTTGCCAAACTCAAGGCAAGAATGGGATACGGCTCACCAGGAGTTGGCACGGGATCTCCCGCTGTTCGCCCGTCGCCCACGCCTTCTGCCGCTTCAGCGACCGCTCGGCCATTTTCCAGAAGAGAAGCCAGCTGGAGCGCCATTCTCGACAGAAAGAGGAAGCGAGACCTGGCGAACGACGAGATGGCTGCGGCGGCGGCGGCGGCGATTGAAGCTTCTCCTGCTGCCTTAGGACAAGGACGAGGACGATCAGAGAATTCTCCGCCCATGGCCAAGAAGGCATACTATGCTGCTTCGGCGGTTAGCAGAGGGAGCACCGCTGCTTTGTCAACGAGAGAGGAGACAAGCGCGGCAGTGGAGGAGACGCGGAGGATGTTGAGGGAGTTGAGAGAGACGATGGATAAGCTGGACAGCGATAAGGGGATGTGGAGGGAAGAGGTTGGTGGTGGGAAGACTTAGGGATATTACTTGCATTGAGTGGAGGATGATGAAGAATCGGAGAATCATTTGATGAAAGCAATTGAGGGGAAGGGGACAGGATTGAATTCAAATATGAGATTACATCATAAGGTTGCCTAACAGAAGCCGGAGTCAGGCGTAGAATGTTTACGCATCAGACACTCAAATGAAACTTAGATAGACAGGGAGGGAGGGAGGAAAGGAGGCCTTCATGCATTCGGTGCACAGATTATACTTGCTTCTACCTTTGAGCTGCTTCAAGAGACTTACCGTACCAACACCATAGCATGATTGAGACTGACGATACCCAAATCCGGTTTTTTTTATTCATTTTTCCCTCCCTTCTTTTTGCTTTGTACAAGCGGGCAACTCTTCGAGGTATACTTTCATCTCTGAATAAAGATCAAGTTTCTAGTGAGCATATGAAGAAGCCAGTTCATTATCATCATCACGGGTATCCTTTATCATCCCGAACTATACACATGCATCTACAACTCGGCCTCTCACTTTCGAGGACTTTTTGGTGGCGCATCAAACATCGTTCGAATCGCCACACTCTCAACCGGACTCCCCGCCGGCTTCTTCTTCATCATCACATTCCCACCAAATCTCGGACTCCTTGGCGACGGCGGGATGCCGTGCGTCGTCACACTGACATTACTTCCATTGAATCGTCTCTGCTGCTCGTTGTTTCCTTGTTGAGGCTGGGGAGCAGCAGGTAAAGGCCACCCATAATTCTTCAACAAGGGACTACTAGCTGCCGTCGCTGACCATGGACTTTGTTGCCCACCCAGGCCAGCGGAGCCAGCAGGGCCGCCAAAGGTGCTGGCGCTGTGGAGTTGCGGGGTCTGTTGGTTTTGATGCTGATGGTCGTCAGATGGGTTATAAGGCTGAATGGAAGGAAGCAAGGCGGCAGTGCTGCGGGTTGAGCTGGCAGACATTGGGGAGGGGCTGTAGTAAGCGTTGGAGCTCGCTGGGGTTGCGGGAGTTCCATAGTAAGCGCGGGTGGGCGAGCGAGGAATACCGGTCGTGGTTAGGGTGTGGAGATCTAGTGGGTTGACGGCGCTTCTGGTGTCGGAAGACGAGATTTGTGGTTGTTGCTGGTGCTCCCAGGCTTTATCCTCAGCTACCGTCGAGATCAGCGAGTTGTGTTGCTTCCAGCTAGTAACACGGCGGGTGGAGAGTCCTCTTGCTGGTGTGCCAGGGGCTGAGTGCTCGGGCTGATGGGAGAGGGGCCTCGTGGTGTTGTTGGCATCGCTGTTGGTGGGATCCGGCATCATCATCGTCGTCTCGTCTCCTCCACTCTCACCAGGTTGAGACACGCCGGGCCAAAAACGCGGCGAAAGCACATGAGTCTGGCACTGGAAAGAGAGCGAAGACTGGCGCTGGTGTCGGGACCGGGCTCGCTTCTCGGCGTAGTCGAGCTGGGCGCTGGCGCGGGCCGCTCTGCTTTGGCGTTTTTTGAGGCAGATGAAGAATATGGCTGAAATGATGAGGATTACGAGCACACTGATGCAAATGATGACGGCGATGATAGTGGTTGAGGTCTTAGGGCCCTCTTCGGACTTGAGGACTGTTGAAGGGTCGACGATGCCGACGGGAGATTTGGAGAAGATGGTGTCGTTCAGGCCGATGACACTTCCTGCTTCAGGTTTGTATTGACAGCCGGCTTCTAGGGCGGTGAAGTCTATGAGAAAGACAGACGTCGGTCAGCGTACTCTCCGCCAAGATGTACAGACGCTATTCCTTTGTTTCTTACAATTGGCTAGGTAGTTGGACTCTCCTCCAGCTACCAAGCACGAGGTACAGTGCCCATAGATGACAGGATCCGATGCATATCCGTCGTCTGCCGAGCAGTATGAAGATGTCGTGGTATCTTTGGGGTCAGGGATACCGTGTTGTAGACTCTGTTGTAAAGGGCCACAGGCCATGGATGTGCTGCATGGTGTTGTCCCGACATCTGTTGCGTTGGGAAAAGCAAAGAGACAATATGATAAAGTGTATCTCAGGTTGTCTATGTTGTAAGTCTCATTAGCAAGTTGCTGCCACTACACAAACACGTATGTCAGGAACTAGGTGGTATACTCACAAAGAAACCACATCTGATCAGTCTCGCGGTCCTGTGAGAATGGACTGGTTTGTAAACAAGTCATGCAGTCTTTCCATTTACTTCCCGCCGGACTGTTGACTGCTCCATCACTGCAAATGATATCCTTGTTTTTGGTGTTGGAAGAGTTGGGGTCCGATTGGTCGAGGTCGGGAGAGTCTAGGCATACTGAGGCGCACGGAGAATTGGGTGTAACTTGTAGTGCGCTGGCGAGTTGAGGTATCAGTAGAGCAGAGAGGAGGGCAATGGTTGTTTTGTTCCTCGTTGCCCGGCTAGTGGTCTTCATCTTTGGAATATGGTTCAGCGCGCTGGGACGAGGACTCGGTTGACAATCCAATCAAATATTCGAGATGCGGATGTGAGAGTCGTTGAAGGATAGACTGTCTATAACAGCTGTGTTGATTAAAAGTATAGATGGATATCAAAAGGGCACCAGGCCGCAGACAGTCGAAAAAATAGCGAACGACAGGTTGAGAAGGCAGAAAAGGATATGGTGGACGAAAGCATCTCAACGGCGAAGAGCAAGAAAAGCCGGGAAACCAGTTGATATCATTGAGCCTCTCTCTCTAGCCTCTACCACATCACAAAGAAAGAACCGATCCTGTGCCGCCCATCTCGTGAAAATTCCCCAAAGTGGATGGCACTATCGAGGTGGGCACCACTAGACCACTATACTTGAGGTTGTTTGAGGTGGTTGAGTGGGTAGTGAGCGGATGTGACGAGCAGGAAACCTGCATGGCGGAACCGGGGACGTAGCGTGGAATGGGTTTGTAAGTATGGGTGATGGCTTTGAAGACTCTTGTGTGCCTGAACTGTTGCCGCGGACGATCCCATCTAGGGTCTTGTGTCTTTCGTCAGCGCACCAATCATGATGCTGTCCGGGTTCCGATGAATGGCAAGCACGGCAGTTGTAGCGTTGAGCGAATCTGATGTATACAGCAGCCCCGGGGATACATGTGGAATACTGATCCAGATGGGCTTCTGCTGTGTTTTTCTTGTTGGTCACGGGCAAAAGAAATTTGTAGTGCATACACTACGAGGAGTCAGAGGTAGTGAATTGGTAGTTGCTAGATCCGATGCGGCAATGTTGCCAAGACCGCTTAAGTGGTTGTTGAACCTTGATGTCGATATTATGTTGGTCAGTTACGAACATCGAATGGCATGTCGTCCACATGTCCATCGTCGAACGCAAAAGTCGAGTCGAACGAGGATGAGGAGAGAGTCCCAGGAATCTGGAAAGAGCGGCCTTCTCTGCGGCCAGCAGCGCTTGTAGCCACTCTCGCCCCGATTCTCTTCGTCAAAGAATTTCCTTTGCAGAGAAAGTTGAGGAGGGACCACGGTTGAACCACGACGACGGGCGCTTCGAGGTTACTCAAAGCGGTTTAACTTCGACGCCAAGAGGCATTTAACGAGACCGCAGCCGACATCTCGATTCCCATTCGTCCGTTGCTTCAGGAACCACTTGTTGATCAAAAAGTTACCCGCCGAGAAACATCATTTTATTTACATCGATCAGATGAAGCTTACCATCACTTTTACTTCCCTTGCTTCCCTGCCCGTGTCTAGGGTTTGTGTCACCTACTCAACCCTACTATGCACGTCTTACTTGCATCTTGTTCTTCCCAAGCTATTTCGGAACGAATATTGATACACTACAAATATCCTTAGTTCCATTCTCTGCGTGAGTGTGGTTATCGCGGGTTATTCAATCTCTGGAATGGGTATTCGTTGCCATCTGTCTGCGTTCAGCTCTGACTGCTTCTCGCGGAGTGATCAATCAATCCTTGTCCTTTCAGTAGCCAACGACTCTCATCGTGCATCCTTCAATCTATCTTTATCCTCATGACATCACGCAACGTGTTTAGGTGGTTGTAGTATGGGTAGAAAATATCCCAGTGTTGCGTCCAACGGCAGTCGACAAGAGAGCACATTTGCGCGCCACATGTTAGTTTGCGGTAGCTCAGGGAAAACTTGAGATCCACCGATTATGTGCTATGGAAGTACGCAGTAGATGAGGAGGGCTACGGAGTTCCGGTTATTTCATTGGAAAGAATTAAAGACGTTCAAGGGTAGCCGGGGTACATACAGTCCCTTTAACATTCCACCGCCGTGCTCCTGGAATCCATCTGTCGTCTTCTACCACTCCCGAACCTTGGGGTTCTCCCGCATTTCCTCCATATCGCCTTCATAGACGTAGCGGCTGGGCGACTATGTCCACGCGGGGAGGCTAACGGTCGGCCTATTTCCCGACTTACGTGTTTTCGAGGTATGTTGTGGCACAGAAGCATGACTTCAAGGATGCCTTTAACCTTTTCTCCTTGTTAGGTAATCTGGTGTTGCTCAGGTTCGTTTGGGTGCTGAGAGTGGTATGACTCAACTAACCTTTGGCTTCGCCACGGCAACAACAGCCACAGATGTTGATCTTGTGACACCGTAGACGGGCTAAGTGGTTGGGGTAAAGATGAGATTGGAGAGCTGCAGAACCATCTCCGTGATGCTTGTGCAGATGATCGTTCATTTATAAAGACGGACATAACATCTTGAAACAACTTCTCAAAACAACAATTGTCCGCTGCTCCCCCGGCTCATCAAAAGGTAGACATCCCCAGATACAGTAGTATAACTTCAAATACGCGTGAACCTATATCTACATCTATCTTCGAGCGCTTCGAGTGACACGCCATCATAAAGCCTAGAAGATCATTCCGTAAACCGACACAGCAACAAACAATATTACCCCAACGCCTGATTTTTCCCGGAGCCCGATGTGTTGCGACAATAAACAAATGCGCATGAATAACGCCTCCAATGAAGAATAGCAGAGATAAAGAAAGAAGGGTAACCGACTTTAGACAAACCCGAACACCAGAGTGGACAGTAGTTGATCCACCTTTTAGTCGCTCTCGTCGCCGCCCTTCTTGGACTTCTTCTCTTTCTTCTCCTTCTTCTCCTTCTTTTCCTTCTTTTGCTTCTTGCGCTCGGCCTTCTCCTCGGCGGTCTCGCCGTCATGCTTTTTGCGCTTCTTGCTGTCGCCAGCCTCCTCAGCCTCCTCGCTCTTCTCGGCCTTCTCCTCAGGCTTGGGCCTCTCCGCAATCTCAACCTTGGCGGCCTCAGCAGCAGGGGCGGCAGCGGCGGCGGCCTCGGACTCAGCGGCGGCGCTGAAGTCCTTGTAACCCTCAGTCCACTTGGCGGGGGTCTCGGCGTTGGGGCGGCCGAATTTGTCGAGCTTGCCGTCGCTCTTGAGCTTCTTCTTCTCCAGAGCGACAGGGCCAAGACCCCAGCGGCGGGGGTAGAGATCACGCTCCATGATGCACCGCTTGACCTTGGCAACAACACCGTGATCGCAAGAAAGCATCCTGTAGGAAAGAACAGTTAGTTTTGAGGAAGTAGGTTTAGAGTCACACATGGGACATGACTTACTCGACACCGTTCATCTGGGCGATACCAATGGCAATAGCCTCGCCCTTGGTGGTCATGAGGACAACCTCCTCGTGGGTCTCAATGCCCTTCTCGAAGCGAAGGAGACCAGGCAACATAAGCTTAGCACCATAGCAGACAGCGTTCACGGCGGAGTCCTTGACAACGATCCTCTTGTAGGTGGTAAGGAGAGTCTCAAGGGGCTGGATGACCTTGCGGAGAGCGGTCTCGTCGCCACCGTTGTCAAACTGCCACTGAGCGTCGAGGACATCGTGGAGAGTGACCATGGAACCGTTATCCTCGGACATGATACCGGAGCGAACACGGCGGAGCTCCTGCATGTGGGCGCCGACACCGAGAAGGAGACCGAGATGGACGCAAAGGGTTCTGATATAGGTACCGGCCTCGCAAGAAACCCAGAAGACACCGAGGTGACGGTCATTGTCGAACTCGATGAGCTTGGACTCGTAAATGGAGCGGATACGAAGCTGGCGCTTGACGGCAGAAATCAAAGGAGGTCTCTGGAAGAGGGCACCGGTGAGGGTCTCCAGGGCCGAGGCAAAAGCAGCCTCGCCGCCGGGGACGCTGTCGTGGAAGCGGATAACGCAAACGTACTCCTTACCAGCACCCTGCTGGGCCTTGACGAGTCTGGTGGCACGGTCGACGCAGACAATCAAGCAGCCGGTGACCTTGGGATCGAGAGTACCGGAGTGGCCAGTCTTCTCAACACTGTTGAGGAATCGCAATCAGCATAAGCCCTAGACCGAGCATTGAGACTTGTTTTTTGTTTCTTGTGTGGGATACATACCGGAGCATGCGCTTAATCCAGGCGACGACTTCGTGGGAGGAGGGGTTGGAGGGCTTGTCCTGGTAGGGGTTAGCACACGCTCAGATTGCGAAAGAATGGTATTGAAGAATCAATGTCGCAAGGGCAAGGCTTACCAAGTTGATGACACCGGAGGACACGTAGGACTTGATGTCGCGCTTGGAGGGCGACGAGCCGGCGGGGATGGGAGTGAAGTGACCGGTGCGGACGAGGAGGTTGCTGTAGTTCTTCAGGAGAAGAGGCCACTCGCTGGTGTCGACCGCGGGCTCGGTAGCCTGGGGCTTGATAACATGTTCTGTCTCGGCACCCATTTTGACTGTTTTGCGATTGAATTCTCTGACTTGTTGTTGATGATTGATAATTGGGAATCGATGATCTTTTCGTGTGATCAACGTCCGCGAACCGGTGGAAGAGATGGCTTCGGTCGCAGGTTGTTTGGTTTCACGAAGAAAATTGAAAGGGACGAGAGGAAGAGTCGGTAGCGAGGCACGTCTCGGAGTGGGCACGTCGAGGATTCAAGATCAAGACCGTTTGACCTTGCGATCACTTTTTTCCACTTTCTGCCGAAAAAAAAAAGCGGCGGAGCTTTTGCGTTGATCCAAGCTCTGAATTTTTTCCTCAGCCTTTTGCCTTTTGGGCCAATGTGGGGTCTTCGTCCGGTGCCCCAATGCAGCCTCGCCGCGCTAACCCGTTCAGTGTGGGGTTTCAATGGGGCCTGCCGTGCCTGCCCAGCGGGGTTGACGACAAACCGTCTCACAATTGCCCTGTGTTCCGCCAATTGGCAACAATTGGTCCCTGAAACTTTCAATTGGGAGTGCCCATTCATGCCGCACTGACTCTTCAAGTTGTTTGCTCCTTCCATCGCGACCTGTTCTGATACTTGGAACGCATCTAATTAACATTGCCCCTGTGATGTATTTCGTGGCACAGTAGGTATCTGCTTACGCTTGTTTAGACCACCAAGTTCAATGATCACATCAGTTCTGGCTTTTTGCTTACGTGAATCTCAAGCGGCAGGCCAGACAGCACTCGACAAATTTGGTCTTTTGATTTTCATTGATGCGGACACTCAGGTCGACTACAGTGGTGAAGCAATCCTGGCTTGCACCTGTGATTCCAGGGCCTTCAAATCAGCCCATGAAGAGCATCTGTGACGTCGGTCGGTGCGTAAATAGGCTACCCGTAGCCCAATCATCGGTTTCTTCCCACCCAAACTCCATCCGAACTCCAGGATATTTGTACTTGTCCCAACCGTAGACCTCGCCAACAAAAGAAATGAATATTACCCGTTTGGGTGGTGGTGAGCGCTATGACACATGTCCCCTAGTTACTCCTACCTCCGTCCATCCGTTCTCCTGTTGCTTCTGTTGCAAGTGTTGCTGGAAGGATTGTTGTTGCATGACTCCCAGGCCGGTTTCCGCCCTCTGAGCACTTTTTGCTGACCCGTTCGAGCCCGGCCTGGATCCATGAGCTCTTCCGTAGCCCGGGTGATGCAGGACCGGTGCCTGAGGCTGAGCCGGCATTTGGTAGTACCCTCCTGCGCCATCGCCACCAGCGTTGCCGGTATTGTTGTTATTGTAGGGACTCTCCACCTCGTGCATTTCGTACATCTCATCTCGCCCCTTGCCCTTCCCGCTACTCTCGTATCCTAGGTTGGAGTTTGACGGCTTGGATCGCAAACTGGCGTCTTCACCACCCAGCGCAATGCCAACTGCAATCTCCCGTTGCCGCTGCTCATGTTGGCTTTGCAAGTGTGCCATCATGCTCTGCTGCGTGATGGGGCTGGGCCACTGAGAAAAGGGTGGAGGTGGCGGAGACGCTCCGTTTGCGACCGAAGAGCCAGCGGGCGATAATCGCTCTTCGATCTGGCCCAACCGCTGGTGCGTGCCCGGCCACTGCATGCCCGATGCTGGCAGTCCGTCTGTTGCGCTGACAGGACTGTTGTACTGGCTCGAGTATGGGCTGAAATACCGCGGCAGGGCCGGTCCGTCCGTATGTGCGCTGATGGGACTCTCGTCCCACCCCCTGAGCGGCCTCTGGCTGAGAGGTGTCTCGGAAATCTCCCCGCCGCCGCTGCCGCCATGACCCGCATGCCTCGTCTTGGGATGAGGCCATCCCTGTCCGGCATTGCGACTTTGGAGTTCACGCAAAAAGCGGCGCCTTCGCCGTTTTCCGTTGCAAACAATGACAAAGCCCAAAATGGCCAGGATGAGAGCAAGCCCACCGAAGGCTATGCCGACACGCGCGCCCAAAGATATCGGGCCATAGTCCGGCAGGGGGAGGCCCTTTGGCTCTGGCTCGGTGATGGTGACATTGTTGAACTCGTTGGCAAAGGGGTCGCCGCGGAAGGATATGGTTGAGCCTACCTCGGGCCTTTGGGTGCAGGATGCGTTCAATAGAGTGACGTAGTTCACCAAATAGTTCCCTCCCACGTCGTAATTTGCCAGACAATGATTGCACTGAGTAACGGCCTGGTCATCCCAATCATCACAGTAGCTAAACGCGCCGGTACTGGTGGTCATATTTTGCCATAAGACCGAGTCCTTGAGAGGCTCACATGCCTTACTTTAAATTGAGAAAAGCTGTCAGTTGCTATAAATGTAGGATGGACAAGAGCGGGCCTACCTGGTAATGCAAGGGTTATTTCCAGCCTCTGGATGGGGATTACGTGGCTGACCCCACAGACAATAAGCAAGATTATATCGGAGGTTATCTAAGAGAAGGTCGAATGTCAGTATCGGCTTGAATGCGTTTTGAGTCGAAGCAACAACTCACATAGGAATGACTTGACATCTGTCTCGTTCCCTTGACTGTATTCACTCGTCATCTGGCATTGCATACACGCCTTGTACACGGCTCCTGCGTTGGTCATGTCATATTCGTCCTGTGTGCACACAGTTTCATCCCCGGCCGTTGCTCCTAGAGTGTTGCCGCAATATTGAGCGCATGGTGATCCAGCAGTTGTGAAAATGGCCGTTGTCAATGGTACTAATGCCACGGCAGCCGTGACAATGAAGAGTGACGGACGGACATTGCCGCCCACCATTTTGACCCGTGATCTTTCTTGAGGTCGTCTGTTCGGTTTTCGTCCCTGTATGTTTCGTACGTCTCCGTGTCGCCAAAAGCTGGTGGTCGGTCGCGAGAGTGGGCCTGCTTGACGGTGCTTGTCCGATATCCGGTCCAGTGGTATCGATTTTCCGCGCCACGCTTCCTATCTTCCGTCCTTCCCACTCTGATGCCCGTACGTATGATGATATGTTGTGTGCGGAGATTCGGTATGGATAGCGGAAAGTGCTGATTTATTGCCACAGAGTTTCTCTGTACGACATGGCCAGTATGCTATCATCCGTAGTTGGTGCGTAGAAGAGAGTTGACCGGCTTTCTTCGTGTCACGAGCGAGGAAGCATGAGGCAGGGGATAAAGCGCGGGGTGGGAAAGGGCCGCCAGTATCAAAGGAAACCAAGTATATAACAGACGCTTGTTGACGCGAGAAGAAATGATGCTAACCCGGAGACTTCACAGCAGGTACATGTCCCCTCTTTAGCTGACAGAATTGCGGCTGTTGGTTTCCAACAGGGGACCCAGATAGCCGTGATCAAGACGGGAAGGATGTTGAAAAGCTGGGAAGGTCGTCAGAGGCAGGCATTCGTAATTGTGATATGAGAGTTTAAAGGTGCAGGGGGCACAGTGAGATTGAGACAGTCTGGACTCGAGCACCTCTGGCAAAAGCCATTGGTTGAGGAGTTGGGGTCCGCATCCAGGGCATATCGAAGATCTTGCCAGACCTTGACCTCAACAGCGGGCAACGGCCCCCGTTCCCGTTCCCCTGAAGGCCTGGGGTTGGCGGACGCGATGAACGGGACCGAACGGGTTGGGGGGGGAATTGCCAGAACAGGGTCGCTTTTGGCGAGAGAGTGGAGGGGCAGAGACAGAAGAGGCAGAACAGACAAGCTCACTCGACGAGAGCTGATTGGGGTCCAAATTGCCGTAACGACCAAACGGGCACCATGAACCATGGGCCATCACGGGGATGGTGAGAAAAGGTCTCTTCACCATTGGACCGAAATTATCTCTCTCCTTAGACACGATCACAGCATCATGGAGGCATCGGCACGACTGCCGACATGTCCCCCAAGAGCGCCGTCCCGTGACGACAAGAGACCATTTTCTTGACTTGTGAAGTGGGGGTGAAATGCATGATTGTTCTGCGCTCCGGATGGAGGGTTGAGAGTTTGGGACTCTTGCGGGCTTGCCAAGGCCGGGAAGCTGTAGCTAAGAGGCACAAAACCCTCTGGCCCCATCACGGCCCATGCATTGCGCAGGAACGTCATTGACCAATCAGGAAAACGAGATGCGACGTCGGCGGTGGTTTGCCTGCAAGGGCCCCCGGCGGCCTAAGAACATCGCCGTGAGCAGACAGTGAGCACATCGCTGAGCACCGTGAACATTTCGAGCCTTTTCACGCTCGGTTCCTGGCTTCCCTCTCTTTTGCTCCACTTGTCGGGCTCGTCCCGTCCGGCAACAGCGACAATCTCGTCACATCACTTCATCTCCTCATCTAATTCCCTTTTCTTCTTCATCAACCGACGGCCCCTCCCGATCCGGCAAAGAACTCTATCGCCAGGTTCGACCGCTCCCTACCGATCATCATGCCGAAGACAGGTGCGAATGGAAATGGCCCGACTGAACAGGCCACCTCCTGGCTGGTCCTCAGTTGGATGGCCATAAAGACGTCCGTCGTGATATTCTCAGAGAGGCTGTGGCTGTGAGAAGAAGGCAAAGAGGGCAACTTGGGCAAGCGGCCTCGATGGTTGTTCGTCTTGGGCCAACCAACCAAGTCTTCAGCCGACTCTCTTGCGTTGCACCACATGTTCTCGCTTCCACTGCGACATGTAATCGTTGGTCATGCACAGGTGGTCATCATTTCCGCGACCCCAACCGTTGGATGGCTCTCTTTGTGTGCTGCGCGACATTGATGAGATGCACCCATTCACGACAAGTGTCTCACACCTTATCCCACACACATCCTACGCCGCCAACCCCCACCCACCATCAAGTGGACGAGACCGGAGCTGAGGCACTGTACCTCTACATACGTATCTAGCTGCGCTGGCTAAATGTACTGCGTATGCATTCGATATGCCGAAGATGATTCCCCTTTCAACGCCATCTTCATCTCTCGATGTTTGCCATTTTTCTCGAAAGCGCAGAAAAGAAATGAACCAAGTCGTCATAAGCTCCACTATGGACTTTGAACAACCAGGCCTTAGCCGCCCGCTGGAACCCAGGAAACCTTGCCATGTCACGTCACTTGTTGGACTTGAATGCCGTTTACAACCAGACATGAACAGACAATGTGCGTGACGAGGGCGATGCAGTGTGAGTACCTAACCTATCGCATAGTTGATGTGCTGATGCCGCACTGGTGTCCGGTTGCCGTCCGGTTGCCGACGCGCTATCATCTTCGCCTTTCTCTAGCAATCAACAACACTATCCACAGGCCCCATGGGTATCGTTTACCCAGTTAAAGCCATCATTATCACTCCTTGTTCGATCCATGTTTCGGAGAGGTCTTCGACCCAGGACCGGGCCCAATCAAGGCTATGATGGCGACGTCTCTAAGCACGACATATCATCTCGACTACCATGTACTCCTTTGTTGCCACACCTTGGGCGGTTCTCGTTCCATCATCCGGTCCGTCAGCGAATGACTGCCATCGCACGGCCTCGGCGCGCACACGGTACACGGCACCACAGAAGGACCCAGCAATTTGGTATTGCCGCTGTACTGCACATTATAGGTTGATAAACTACCACCGTGATATGGCACTGGGGCCGAAAGGGCTGAAGATTCTGTTTTACAGCCATCGACCCTACGCTACCACGTATTAACCTCGCTGCCTGTTGCTTATTAGACTCTCGGGTCGGTTCCTTGGGCGATCTCTTACCACGAGACCAAGAGATTGGGGAATAGTAACTAAATATGGTGAAAGGGGACTTGAAGGAGAGGGCAAGAGGCATCGCCTGATGTCTGCTCGTCTTGGACACTCGCCGAGTGTGGAAAGGGAGATGTCGTTCAAAGTGCATTTCTCCAGCTAACATAACCCTTAGGTTCAAGCCAGCTTGTCGCTCACCACTTGACAGCAAACGTCCTGCTGCACAGTTCCAATCTGTCATAACCCATCACTACACCCACTGAGTTTATCGCTGATATCAGCATGCCCCGCTTCGGTCAACTCAACACCCGGGACCTTGGCCAAAAAGCTTGACGATGCTTGGGTTCGCTACTGCGATACTCGATACTCCTAGCAACACCACGCATGCAAGTCGCCTACGGGCCATTCACCTGATTCGACGGGACACTCTTTTGTTGTCCTAGCAATCTGGTGCTTCTTCGGCGTTCTATGCAGGTGGTAGTACCTAGTGTTTTACAACCGTGTCGCTGGTATGACAGGAGGAAGTAGTCTCAAGCATGACATGAGCGATATGAATAGCTCTTGGTGACCCTTCGATCCGTTGCCGCTCAGCTTCCCCCTAATACCGCCGCCCCGGCACACTTGATAGTGAAAGGGAAGTAAAGAGTGCTGGACAGCCTTGGGATAGATTGAGCCCCTGGTATTGAGCTTGATGGGCCGAGCCGCCGGGAGGGGAGATAACCGTACCGCTTTTCTGAACCGTCAGAGTGATCTCTGTTCACAGCATACTCAAGACAAGAGCATCAAGAGTCAATATCAGCCCCTCGGCATCTGTGTCGCGGTCTACCCCTGAACTCTCATCAAAGGGGAGGGTGTCTGCCCAATACCTCTATACAATAAAACTGGGATCGAAGAATTAGACTTATTTACATCCACGGGCCTCAACAACTGCAATGTAATTTCATGTTCAATAGTCTGTCCTTCTTTCCATCTAGCTCATCAGCTCTCAACAGACAACTAATCGTGTTGCTGCCTTTCAACAAGGTCACGAGCGAGATTCAATTAACACCTTCATTCAAATTGCTATACCCCAACGTATCTTCCCTGCTCTGCTTGTCGTTTATTCGATGATTCCTTCCGGCTAGACAGAGCATAACTAACGACGTTCTTGTTGTTCCCGAATTTCCCCTCCAGCCATTCCTCCGACTTCGAACATCCCCCAAACCTTCCAACCTCTCTCACTCAGTATACTTCCAATACAACCTTTCGAACCTCACACTCTTCAAAAACCAATCCTCCTTTCCCCCTCCATCCTTCCCCTTAACCCACCGCTCATGATAATGTCCACCCCCGGCCCCTTGCCACCCTGTCTCACCCTCCTTTGGCGCCGCATGATAAATCACTGCAAAGATAACCTCGTATTCATCCTCACTGATGCTGGTGAACTCTCCCGCCCCCGAAACCAGATGCATCGTCTGTAGGGCTTTGAATTTGTCGGAGAAGTATGCGGTCCAAGACGCCAGGGAGTCGAAAGCCAAGGTGACGGGCCCTGCGGCGGACGGTTCGACAATGGGGGAGGAGAAGAAATAGTCGATGAAATTGAAGGTACAAGACGGGAGGATGAGGGAGGCTAGGAGGGGGAATTGTTGGGTGTCGACGTAGCGGCAGTAGCGGAGTTTTTGGGATTGGATGCGGGATTCTGCTGGGGATGACATTTTTGGTCGTAGGCTTGGTGCAATGATGGTGGGTGATGATGGCTTTGGGCTGTTGAAGGACTCTTTTGCCAGTTGATGGATGCGGTGGGTGTTGTCGTTGATGTGATTGGCTATGTGTGGCGGTGGTGTCGAATGAATGGATGAGATGTGAGACTTTGTTTTTGTTTCGTGGATGTCGGTTAAATGGATGGTGGAAGGTGTGATGTGAGCGATATGATGACAACCTGGAATAGAAGAAATATAATGATGAAGTGACGAACCACTGGGGCTTCTGGCTTTGTATGATTTTATATGACTCGATTCAGACAGCTCGTCGACAACGTCCTCGTTGTTCCTTGTCCTGGCAAAAAGGCTAGAGGCAATCAGAGATTTCCATCCGAGACCATTTTCCTGATTCAGGTGCTACGAAACAAGGACCTTTGCGTATGCCGGTGGTTTTTTTGAAAATTTTGGGGAAGCATAATCGTGGTTGATTCGAGTTGAGACCCAGCTTGAGACTGTTATCCCAAAGGGGAAATAGGGCGCAACAAATGTTCGGCAGGATTACCAAACACAGACTGGGTGTGCTGACATGCTGACATTTGTATTGACTTCATTGACAATGTTTGCGGACCAGGCCGGTAGGATTGATCGTCGCCTAAAGAAAGGAACGAAGTTCACAACTCCATGACATTATACATTGTCATCTGTACTCTTCGCAGATTTGATGTGTGTACGCCGTTGGAATCGGGGGCTAAAGTTCTTTGCTTTTTGATGGGGACCCAAACCCCGCCTGAATCCAAATTCCCCCACGGAAGGAACAGGACGATAAGACGCACGTGTGTGGCGGCGCTGGCAACGGTTTCATCATCTTCTGTGCCGCTGAATGGCGGGATCTCCCTCGGGTACGGGGACTGGAGGAATAAATAAAGTATTTTCTGTAGTAACTTAACGAAATAACCTTAAGAAAGAGATACGAGGGAAAGGTAATGTGCGCGTTGGTAGAGCTTTTTTTTGTGGACAGCGTTGCTCTACGCATCGGTCTACATTGCTGGGGCAGGTAATAGTGTTCAAGAGAGGGCTGTTGAACGTCATTACAGAGTTAAGACTGTAAACGATGAGCAAATGGAGAGGAGCAAGGCATCATAGTTTGTGATTTATATTGCGACAGTCATTCATAAAGGAATCCTTCAGTAACTTCGTATCGGAAGATAGACTACCTACTCAGTGGGTGTAAGTAACACTTCCTCCACCGCCACAGTCTCCATCCACTCCTTTTTCTCCTCCACCATCGCAAGCTGCTCGACAACATTCACAGTCGCATCTTCCTCATCACCATCCCTCATCACATTGTCCTCAGCTTCCACACCTCTATTCTCCTTACTCAATCAGCGTCCCCGCCAACAGCTTCTCATAGAGGTAGCTTCCGGTGATGGCTGAAGCTTGTAAAGGTGGGAGAGATCGAGGGCTGCAGGGTCCCAGAATGGAAATAGCGTTCCGTTGAAGATGGCATGGTAGTTCTCGGCTATCTTCCTCTCGTAGCCGTACCAACCCACGATATTGTTGGTGAAATGGTGATGGCGCATGTGGAAAACATACCGCCCCGAACGAAGTTCATCTTGAAGGCAGCCACGGTGGGATGGTTCTGATATTTGCCTCGGGCCTCTTTTCGTAAGTCATGGACAAGACGCTTCATTGCTCGAGGTTCCTGAGAGCCACGGTATTCAAGTTCGTCCGTTCGATGTCGTCAATAGACGGGCACTTGTCTGTAGTCACATGGGCGTCGATGACTAGGTACAGCGATTGACAATGAAGCCACATAAACTACCGCTTTCGAGCCTTTATACGAAATCGCTATAGATGCCTAGGGAGCTCAAAAATCGCAACCCAGGGGATCTAGCTTTTAGCTAGTCCACCAACCCCCATCATCCTGATTCAAGCTCAGATCGCATATAGAAACATGCCGATAATCCTCACATCCCGTCGGTTGTATCCAAATGATACATTGCAGATGTTCTCTATGCGGGGTGCTCGGGCAACACTAAACTGCTCACCAACATAATAACTGTGTTCGTATTTAGACAAGAAGCCGAATCATCCTGACACCTCCTTTTGCTGTAACCTTGATAGCGATGCATATGTGCCCCCTTGGAATTTCTAGAGAGAAGATGACGGCTCATGTTGATGTCTCCCCAAGCATCCAACCGAATTCAAGTCCAAGATAGAATTTATAGTAGACTTTTGGCAGGGCGGCCACTAGTACGGTACTATGAAAATTGCATTTGAGCGCCAACATTGAAATCTCGAACGTGAGAGCGAAGGATTTGGTGGAAGATATCCTGCACGGTGCTGCAGTTTAGCAAGTGAGACGGGGTACGGTACCATTTAGGGCGATTCGTAGAGCAACAGAAATGGCTTAGCGTGACGTTGGAGTATGGTTGTCCAATCAAGATTGTTTGGTGTATGGTGTAATTGCTACACCTTCACAATATCTTTGTGCCCTGGAGATAGCTATTGAAGTGTTACGTTGAGGATGATACGTTTGAAAACCCCGTGTCTTGTAATAATTTCCGGTGCCGTAAGCCGGCCGGAACTAGATAACACTGTCGAAGAGCGAACCTCTGTTGAGTTCAGAAAGCAAAGTTTGAAAGACATTCATTTCGCAAGAATAAATTCTCCTATCCATCATGAAATGAGATAGGAAACACCAGCAACGCTGGCGCTTCTGTTTGCTATATCCTGTTCACGAGCAGCTCAAGTCTCAATAGCACTTGTGGGATGCGAGGAATTGAGCGCGAAAGGTCAGGGTCTCCACATAAGACGAGTACTACTTGGCAGACACAGCGTTTGAAAGAATCTCAGGAGAAGTACTGATACCACACTCCCTCGTTATGGGCTTTCCGGATGATGCAAAGGCATAGAGAGACTTGCAAATTTGGACAGCTTCATATGATGACAATGGGCTTTTTTCACCAAAATGCAGAGTAATTGAGCTGAGTAGGTCTCGGTGCCTGTCGGTCTATGATCAACCTCATCCTCCTGCATAATCCATTTGGAGGTATTTAGGCGAAAGGTCAAGCCCCCGTTATCGAAGGCATGCTAACTATGACTTCATGGCTGCCTCGACTTGGTTGGCTCTGTTTAGTCTTTCCAGCTCGAATATCTGCAGAAATGTTGTATATGCCCGAAAATGAAAAGATCGAGAGGGTTGAAATTGTCGAGTGACGTTGAAAGCAACTCCGAAAGGCGGTAAGTGACCATGCCTAATACGTGTAAGAACTGTGGATCTGGGTGTCGTTGCTAGTTGACGGTCATCTGGATGGCCGCATGATATGACGGCTCGTTAGAGATGGAAGTTGGTCCTAGCTCGTTGGTCATTAGGCGGATAGAATATAAAGGATGTCCAACTCGCGGGTATGTTTGGTCCGTCTTTGACTTGAAATTGGATGTTGGCGTGAAGGAGTTAGGTATTGATAGTTGAATTGGAAGAAACGTTGCTGGAGGTTGAAACAAACTGCGAACCGACAGTGTAGGGTGGTTCATTACCGTTTTCTGACCAATCACAGGGCGCATATAAGCCAAGAACCAGATCACGCTTCTAGTGTAGGTACACTAGGTACACTACGGATTGGGCGACACATGGGCATCGAGTCTGGACCTGCATTTGACCATCTCGCATGTCGCTGCCGTCACAGTCACCTTGCCTTCTCACATCCCTCTCATTTACTTTCCCTCGCTGCCATCACGAACTGATGTCTAACCCACGAGATGTTGATGAATGAAGCAAGGCCCCCTCCCCCGGGAACCGCTTGGATCTGTAAGAGCGGGGAAGCTCTAGGTAAACACTTGCACTGACGAGCCGCCGTACAAGTGCCGGGACAGGTTTCCGTGCACAGTCTCATATCATGCAGGTGCCCCTGGGAACAGTTGACACAAACGGCTGAGAAAAGCCAAATCTTTGCTTGATCCCATTGATTCGGACAATTTCTCGTTCGTGTTCCTGGTTCGGCGTGGCGCGGTTCGCCATTCAGCTATGTGAATGTGACCAAGGCAATCTAGACAAAATTTTGTGAAGACAGAGTGTGACGGGGCCCTTGAAGATTTGATCACATTTCCACTTGCCATGATTCTCGTGATCCGCACTCTCTTCTCGCACAGCATTGGCAGTGACCCTCCAGCGCTGTCCCGCTAGCGCAGGCTGCCGAGATCTCTTGCAGGCGAGAAGTCAGGGGCTCGGGACAAGCCAAGTTACGAGCAGAAGTACCGACCAACCACATCTCGCCGTGAGGGTACCCCGTGGTCTATCTGAAGAAGCCTAACAGACGCAGGCCCCATCGCGCCATCTTAATCATCCCACTCTCTCCGCGGGTGCCCGCCAATGCCTTCCTTCCATGGCAGACATTGGCAGTCCTAGGAAACCCAATGGCGGCAAGAAGGTAATATGATGGCAAGTCCGCTGGCCATTCACACTTCCAGGTTGATCAGTTTTCTCATCGCCCGAAAGAATGCCGTGAAGTACGAACCGTGACACAAGCTCTAGGTACGGGGTGGAAGCGTCCTGCTGTGTTGCATACTTCCATGCGCCCACCGTCTCCATCTTCCACTTGTTCTCTGCTTCCGACTCTTTTCAGTTGCATCGAATTCGAAACGAAACAAGAAGAAAGAAAGAGTGCAGTTCGTGCCTCTTACACCACCTGGACGCCCGCATACATTCTTGGGGAAAAGGGTCCAAAATTATCCTAGCGGAAGCTCAAGACGCCCCCGTGTCACCACACTTTCCAGCTCAACGAAACGAGAAGGACGTGAGCAAGGGGATTTCAATCCAACGAAGGAAGCAACCAACGCCTCAGCCCTTTACGCCAACTGTGCCGTTTCTACCGCCCCTTCTCGCCTGTCTTGTCTTTGATCCAGAAGCACGAGGCACAGCTCCGACCGTCTCCGCAAGCCCCCCTCAACGAGATATCTTTTAAATATCCTTCGTTTTTTCAACACCATTAGCTCTGGATAATTCCGATCCGTCGGCCTCACTGTCGCCAAGGTCAGCGCTAAAGCAGCATCTACGGCAGTTACGAGACAACGCTTGCTGCGCCAACAACGCACGCTCGACCACATAATAAGTCAAACCCACCGGGGAAAAAAAATAGAAACATCAACCTACCAGTCTATTCTCCATCGTCATCATGCGCATCGGGTGTCTTCAGTTCGCGCCCCAGGTTGGGGATGTCTCCAACAACCTCAGTCGTGCCGACGCCGTTTTGGCCAAGGCCAATCAGAGGGAATTGGAGGATCTAGACCTACTTGTTCTTCCTGAAATGGCCTTTTCTGGTAAGCAGCCTCCATTTTCTCATTCAGCACCACGGTCATTCCACGTGGGAACTAACATTGCGCAAAGGATACAACTTCAAGTCCCTAGAAGAAATCCAGCCCTTTCTCGAACCGTCGGGATCCGGCATCAGTGCTTTGTGGGCACGGACAAATGCTCTCAAGTATGACTGTACTGTCGCCGTTGGCTACCCCGAAAAGGTCGGGTCTTCGGGTTCACCGCGTGGATCTTCCCCCGAGTACTACAACTCACTGCTTGTTGTCAATGGGGAAGGCGAAACCGTTGCAAACTATCGCAAGTCCTTCCTTTACTACACCGACCAGACTTGGGCCCTGGAAGGTGGAGGATTCTATGGCGGCAGGATGGAGGGCTTCGGCAACGTTGCCATGGGAATCTGTGAGTATTTCCGATCCCAGTTGTAATTGACTACTCAAGAGACTGTCGTACTAACCTCTTCACAGGTATGGATATCAAGTATGTCCTAGACTCACTTCACCGTTATTGTACGTAGCTAACGTGTGACAGTCCCTACAAGTTCGAGGCACCCTGGCATAAATTCGAGTTCGCTTTCCACGTTCTCGAAGTTCGAGCAAACCTAGTCATTCTTTCAATGGCATGGCTTACCCACGAGGATCCATCAACTTTCACTCCCCTCTCTCAGGAACCGGATCTGGCAACCATGACATATTGGCTTCAACGATTCGAGCCTGTCATCCGAGACGAAAGCGACGAGGAACTCATTGTTGTGTTCTGCAATCGCTGCGGCATGGAAGACGACGTCTTATACGCGGGCACCAGTGCCGTCATTGGAATCAAGAACGGTGAGGTGTCTGTTTATGGACTCCTCGGCCGTGGTTCCAAGGAGTTGCTGGTCGTCAACACTGACGCCCCGCCCTATGGAAAGCTCGTCAATCGCCCGGACGCCGCTACCGATAACAACGAAGAGCACATGCCCAAAACAACCCCTGGCACTACTGGGAATCCAGTTTCTCCCGACCAAGCCAACACAACCTCCCTTTATTCCCCTGTGAGAACACATACACAACCAGAGGCAGCAGTGCAAGCCGCAGCTTCTAACAGACATATAGGGGGCAACAGACGCAGCCCAGTCGAGGCCAGAAAACGACCAACCTTGAACATACCTACGAAGCCTCCTCGCTTCGTGGCAGACGAGGAAGAGGGTTGTAGTGATTCAGGCACGGAGAACTACGCTGATTGCCAAGGCAACTGTGGAGGATGTGACGGGCATGCTTATGTAGGAAGAGCAGAAGCTGTAGAGAGCCCGGTATATCCCAGTCCGACTGTCATGGCCATGCGACCCAAGCTTCCCATTCACAAAGGTGCACGTACACTTCCGCCCATTACTACCAAGCGGTTGCCATCTGGGGTAAAGCCTGGGAACTATTTTAATAGTCGTGATCTTTATACTCCTCCCATCACACCCTACGACGATGCATCGCTGTCAGCAGCCCGCCGAATACCATTGCCCTTTTCACCCGCTGTGGACACACCGGTTGAACCAAACTGGCCCGTTTCTGCCAGGATTGACTATAACGGCCAACCATTCCACACTCTTCCCTCCGGGCCAGCCAGCAGATCGACAAACATATCTGGTGGCAGATCCCGCAATTCGAGCCGTGCAAGGGGCCCAGAGATGCTCTCACCAGTCACGAGCCAACACCCCTTCCAGTCAGCACGCACAGGTCCAACGGAACGGGTCCCAAGGCGGGCAAAACGCGAAGACGAGAAGGAGCATGAATATGGCGAGTTAAGCGCGGACAGGGCAGCAACACGAAAGCCGGCCAAGACGGGTTTCGATGACCTTTTCAACACGATTCCCATCGCCGCAAGTCCCAGCATTTTCAAGACTACATTTTCCGAAGCAGAAATCATGAACAACCAGCAGCAGCAGCGTGCCGGCGAATCAGTTCATATGAGACTAAGGGACGAGCCACGACCTCAAGTAGCTCCTCGACAACGTCCCACAGTTGAACGAACGGCCTCTAGACTCAGGAGCACATCAGCCTCAAACCCCAGGATCCCACCATCGTTCAATTATCCTCCACCCCCGGTCCCGCAAACGCCCCAATATACTCCTGCTTCTTATACCTCGAGTTCCCGCTCCTCGAGCAGAAGCAGGCAGGTTTCTTACACGAGACGGGGCAGTGAGCAACGCACAGTTCCGTCAACACCGAGCACCCCCAGCCCGACAACGCCGCATCATTATCACCAGCATCATGTGCTGCCCGCTACATCTTATGGTAGCAATAGCCATATCCAGCAACCACATAAAAGAATGCCACAGGTTGTTGGTATAAATGATCATGATGATGAGCCCGAGGCGTTTTACGGACGAGGACCGGTAATACCGGTTGGAGGAATGACGGGAGGGAGGGATAGTAGAGGTCGAAAGATACCTACCCAGCAGCAGCCGTCTAGGAGGACACACTCTGTTGATCCTCATCGCCGGGAGCCTGCTGCCGAGAGGGGACGCAATGGTGGGGCTAGGGTCAATGGGAGGTATTATCCTCTAGACTTGTTGTCGCCTGTTTCTGTATGAAAGAATATTAGTGCAGGGCATCTCGAAGAACTTACAGATTGCGATAATCTCTTTTTCTTTTTTCGGATGTGTTGTGAATGAGATTGATATGTCGAGATTGTGTCGATGAACGACTTTTTCTGTTACTCTTCTTGGATGGAGATTAAGATAGCTGGCAAAGAAAAGAGGGGTGGGACTGGGTTTGGAAAATATCTACACAATATACCGGGCAACCGGTTTGATAATATGAAATGGAAAGTGAAAGATTCAATGACGGTGCCAAAAGTTCACATTCCATGTTCTATATACCTACTACCTTTTCCTGGGTAACTTGGATATCTCACGAAGGACGCATCTGGGCATTATCCACTCAATGGAATCCTCTACATTTCATGCTCCGCTACCGGCTACACCGCAAATGCTACATGCTAACCACCTTTACTCCTTTCTCTGTAGTGCAATATGCTATGCCAGTTGACTAAACATCAAAACCAACGCCGAGTAAACGATTCAACTCATAGCTTTCGCTCGGGTATTATCTTTTATGAACCTCATTATTCCTGCCCCAGCATCACCACGCACCTTCGCAATTTTGTTTTTCTTTTCTTCGAGAAGCCCCCCTTATTCACTTCTTTGGTGCCACAAACTTCTTCGGATCCATGTTCAACTTACATAACCTCGCCACGCACCCGCTCAACTGCAACAGTGTCTGGACGCCCTCCAAAATCTTCATATGCGTAAACCCAATCTCCTTGATAAACTCGAGCTTAGCGTGCTCGCTCAGCGTCGGAATCGTCTTTGTGACCTTGAACATGGTGCTGATAATATCATGACTGGAATACCCCAGGTCCCACAGCTCCCGCAGCCCGTCCAGGGCCGCATCAACATTACCCTCGTAGCAGGCCTTGAGCATCGCCTGCACCTTGATCGGGTGCGGGCTATCCACAACTTTAAAGACATTATCCCCGCTCACGAAGCCGAAGCCGGCGTGTGTAGATTGCAAGTTATTAATCGCCTGCCGCATGTCTCCCTCGGCGCTGAAGACCAGCGCGGCCAGGCCGTCGTCGCTGTACTCGACTTTTTCGGCTTCGATGATTTGCAGCAGGCGTTTGACGACTTGCGCGTCGGTGAGCTTGGCGAAGCGCAGGATTGCGCAGCGGGATTGCAAAGGTTCGATGATCTTGTTGGATTGGTTGCAGGCGAAGGCAAAGCGTGTGGTGTTGGAGTAGATTTCCATTGTGCGGCGAAGCGCTTGTTGAGCGCCCGAGGTCATGCTGTCGGCTTCGTCGAGGATTACGATCTTGTGCCGACCTGGGGGGAGGGTAACTTTCTTCTGGGCGAAGCCTTTAATGCGCTGGCGAACTACTTCAATGCCTGTTTGGTTTTTGGGTTGGTATGTCAGTATGGGGGGTTTTTTGTGTTGTTGGCGTAGCTCATAGCCACAGAGCTGGATGCTCTTGTCCTTTCTAACCTCGCTCGTCACTGGCATTCAACTCCAGCACCGCCTCCTTGTACGCATCACCCAGTAATTGCCTTGCCAGACACAAAACACTCGTGGTCTTGCCGATACCAGGCATGCCTGAAATAATGAAATGGGGCATGTTGCCCTCCTTTGCGATAATCTTGAGGCGCTCGATCGTTTCTGTGTTACCGACCACATCGTCAAGGAAGACTGGTCTGTACTTTTCTACCCTGTTTGTAACTGCGGGTCAGCCTGATGCGCTCTGAAGATCAAGAGTTCATTGAATCCTGATTAGACTCACCATGGTAGCTCGTAGGTCGGGGAAGAGCTCGCGGAGACCGAGGTTGCTGCCTTGGAGATGGAGGTTGAGGACTCGCCCCTCTCCTCTGCTTTGGCTGATGGCATTCTGGGTGGACAATAATCGAAGTTTTCTTGTTCGAATGCCGTGTTTCAGATCCCCAGATTTCTAAGTGTTGCGATCCTTGATGGTGTTGTTTGTTGGTTTGCGATTTCTGAGCTGTCTGGAGGCAAAGGTCAGTGGCGGGGCGCGACGCGTCGCGTTCGATGATTTTAAGTGGTTTTGCATGGGTCTGGCCGAGGTCGTCATACCCTAACCCTAGGAGTGCTTCTAGCAAACTCTCAGTGTCCGACCTTGTTCCTTTTGTCTTGATGGGATAGAAAAACAAAAAAAATCATGATGGTCCCTTCGAGTCTGGAGGTTTTATAACTCTCATTAGACTAAGCTTCTGTTCAAGCCAGAGAAGACCTTAGTTCGACGTTGCCACAAACATCTATCCAGAGGCCTCTGGTAGCACATCCCTTCGAGTAACTCGACACATGTGTGTGCTTTCCTATTACAGAATTCGCTACCTCTATGCCTAAGTTACGCAAATCACCCTTAAAGTGTACCACAGAGTGTCTTCATTTCCTGAATGTGTGGTCGGGGTGGCAGGCGACGTCTGAATATTACGAAAGAGTACGAACAAAAGAAGGTGAGGGCACAGAGTATGGCATAAATGAGCCTTTTCTATCCTGTCTACCTCCGGGTATCCTCCCCAAGTACCAGTAACGCCTTATCAGTGATTTCTTATGTGCGGTAGTCTCCATTAATGGTACTGTTCAGATCTTATGTCAGCAGTCTGTCACCCAAGCTCGAATGAGGGCGGATCAACTTACATGTACTCGTGGCTGTAGTCGCAAGTCCAGTAGGTAGCCTGCTTGTCACCAGTTCCGAGTCTGACAAGGATCTCAAGGTCCTCAAGCTCGAGGATCTCAGCAGCACGAGCCTCATCAACATGCTCAGGTTCGCCGTTGACGAGCAGCTTCAGCTCAGCAGTGCCGTCAGTGGGGATGAAAGAAACATTGGTCTTTTCAGGGACGACCTCAGGAACATCGTTGACGGGAAGGCCGGGCTCAGAAACAAGGGAGTAACCAGTAGCGCAGAGGATACGGCCCCTAATGACAACGTTAGTAGCTGCCAAAACGCATGGAATAATTCGTCGCAACTTACCAGTTGGCATCCTTGCCGTATAGAGCAGTCTTCACCAGGGGAGAACGGGCAATGGTGCTGGCAATCTTCCTAGCGGCCTCCTCGCTAGCAGCCTCGGCAACGCGGATAGTAACGAACTTGGTGGCACCCTCGCCATCACGGACGATTAGCTTGGCAAGGTCGGTAGAGAAATCGGTCAGGACAGTCTGGAAGGCATCGTAGTCGGGGGTGTTGGCAACGACTTCCTTTCCGCCAGCAGCACCATTGGCAAGCAGGGCAACAGTGTCGTTGGTGGAAGTGTCTCCATCGATGGTGATGCTGTTGAACGAACGGTCGACGGCGTGCTTGAGAACGGCGGGCAGTACGGTGGAGGAAACGGGAGCATCGGTGGCGATGATACCGAGGAGGGTAGCCATGTTGGGATGAATCATACCGGCTCCCTTGGTCATGCCAGCGATGCGGTACTCGACTGAAGGGGAGGAGGGAAGCTTGAAGGACCGGGAGATGAGCTTGGGGAAAGTGTCGGTGGTGCAGATAGCCTTGGCAGCCGTGAGCCAGTGATCGTGGGTAGAGCCCATGGCCTTGTGAACCCGGGGGATATTGCTGGTGATCTTTTCGATGGGCAGACGCTGACCGATGACACCAGTGCTCATAACGAGAGTGCTCTCGCTCTGGCCAAAGCACTCATCGGCGGCCTGGGCCATCTTGCCGGCATCCTCCAAGCCTCCCTTACCAGTAACGGCGTTGGCGCATCCCGAGTTGACAACGACACCTTGAATACCCTGGTTGCCCTTCTTCTGCAACAAGCTACGACTGAAAGTAACGGGGGCGGCCTGGAACTTGTTCTTGGTGAAGACGGCGGCGGCGGCGCAGGGACGGTCCGAGGCGACAAGGCAAACATCGGGCTTGGTAGTGTTCTTGGGCTTGACGCCTACGTTGATGCCGGAAGCCGAGAAGCCTTGGGGATAGGTGCCAGAAGTAGGGACATACTTCTTCTTAGCCGCGGGAATGGAGCCGCTGACGGGAGCCGAGTAGGACCTGGACTGAATTTTTTGAAGAGTACGAGTCACTTGGGCACCCGATTGCCTCAATTGGCTGAGAACACAGCCGTTGAGGCTCTCCATGACTGCTGCGAAATGCTGAGACTGGAGCTTCCTGGGGAAAATGGGTGGTTGGAGTTGGTGATTCCCTTCTTAGAAAGTAAACAACCGAAAAGGCGCAATTCAGTACCTGTTAGGCCACAAGGGTACACGGTCCACGATGCGCCGAGCGCGGTGTCGAAACTAGTGGGAGATATCAAAGTGAGCGCAGAGAAGGTTCACGATGGACAACCCATATTTGAGGCACAAGAGTTATTCTTTTTTTTTCGAGATCTAGACGGGCCCCAAGGCATATTTTTTTTATCTTCATGTTGTCCCTCGGAGTTGATTTCACTTTATTGTTATTAGTCACAGCTCGCAGCAACCATTGAGAAGTCGCAACCATACATGGGTGTTGCCGTCAGGGCAAACAAGCGACATCAAGCCAGGCATTATGCCACCGGCAACGGCTCCTCCTGCCGGAGAGGATCGCCCCGAGCGCCGGAGAAGCGCGTCCCCGCGCATGCCCTGCCAAGACACGGATCAATCACGGCCAGAGCTCCAACTGCCCCACCAAAAACGCAATTGCCCCACCCAAAGCTCCTGGCTTCCATAAAAGGGCGTTTTCGTTGGCTGCAATTTCTTCGTGCTTCCATTCCCCAAAAAGACACGATTCACTCAACGTCTGTCTTTGCCTCTCCAGGCAGCGTTACATCCCACCGCTGCCTGTGGCTTTTTCCCCCTTTCCACCTTTTTTCCTACAGAGGGATGCCGACTTGAGCTTCTTTTGAGAAATCGAAGACCAAGAATTAGCATCTTGCTTCCAGTCCCCTTCACAACACCACACCACACCACATCACATCACATCACACCGCACGCACAGATCTCGACAAGATGTCGTCTGAAATCATGGCGGCCTACTGGCAGGCGCCACCAATGGCTAGGTGAGCTTTGCCGTCTGAGCTGGTTTCTTCCCACGCCCGATATCGTGTGCAAGAGCTGGCAAAGAGCATCCATGAACACATACCAACTTGCTTCAGGACATTGGCGACGGCCATTCTCGTTACTTCCATCATGGCCTACTTCGGGCCGTTGCCGATCAGCTGGATCTACTTCGATGAGAGCAGACTCTTCAAACTGCCGCCTGAGATATGGCGTCTTGTTACATCTTTCCTGCTCAGCTCTCCGCAGCTGGGCATTGTGTTGGATCCGTACTTTGGTAAGCAACCCTTCCTCGAAGAAAACTTCGTGGTCAACAAGGATGCTAACCAGAATCGCAGCCTATCTGTACTTGAGCCAACTTGAAACCTCAAACCCCAAGTTCCAAAGGAAGGAAGACGTCCTTTGGTATTTGATTACTGTTGGTGGTTTCATCATTGTAGGTTTGACATCTCTTTTTTTCTCTTTTTTTCTTCCCCTCTTGACTACACCTTTTCCCTCAAACCCGTCACAACACACATTGGAATCCTCGGAATATCTGCCCGCATAGTGCAATGCATACAACTATTGCGGTTCCTGGAACCGAGGAAGATTACCGCTACATCTCAGCCGCCCATCATTCGCAAAATACCGGGTGGGCTGCGGTGTGGCCATGGTGGGAATGCTTTGGATGACCCGAGCAATATACTCTGTGTGCTCGGTGTGGTTTTTTAGCGCCCTACATCTCACACTAAGCATTCGTGCTTTTTGATACCATACTCCAGCATTTCTGTTAGCAGAATTGCTAACAGATGATAGATCGTAAACCGAATCTTCCTGGGTGGGTATTTTTTCCTCCAAGGATTGATCATTGCGCTGTGTTACACTGCCGTTCAAGATGCCCGCGGCGCGAAGTCGAACTTTTTCTTCTTCACGGTGCCTGCGCAGCTGATTCCGTATTGCATGCTCCTCTCGTCGCTGCTCATGAACCCCGCGGTGATCCCTCTTCAGATCACCGGTATTCTTGCTGCTCACTGGCATGACTTTATGACCCGTCTGTGGCCCGAATTCGGCGGCGGTTCGAGCCTGCTACCGACACCCGCTCTTCTGTCTCGTTTTGTCGAGACGCCGCGAGTGTTCCGCCGCGAGTACGGCACTGCCATCCGTCCCGGTTCTGGCGCTCCGTCTACAGGTCGTACTACAGGTGCCTCCACCGGCTCGGTGCTCCCGGATTCGTGGAGGACTCGGGGTTCAGGTCATCGTCTGGGTGGTGATTGAAAGTGGTTTCGCATGAGAAGAGTTTGAAATCATGCGGATATGTGGTGGAGGGCACGGACAGAATGGGTAGATCGATCCAGATAGCAATGATAATCTGATATATCGTTGCATGTTCTGTTTATCCCGACATCTGTTGGTAACATTGCTATAGATGGATCATGAATTCAAGTACAGCAAACCCCGTCCACATTCCACACGCAGTAAACTCCACGTCCCAGGAGGAAACCCGCCTACTCGGGAGCCAGAAGGTAATCATCGTATCTTTCCACAACGAAAGTCCCTCCGTGAAGAGCGCCGTTTCCTATACACCAAACCAACAGTAAGATCCAAATGAATATACAACGAATCGAAAGTGGTCTTCCCGGTCGACAATCTTGAGTACCAACCCTTACTCATCATCAGATCACCAAAATACCAGACAAATCACCAGATATCACTCTCCCTCCCAATCTCCACCTCCTCATAATGCCTCCCATTATTCCCACTATGTCTCTTCTCCCGTCTTCCACTTTCTCCTCCGTGTCCCAGTCCTTGATGATCACCACCAAAACTCCTCGATCGATCTCTACCCCCCTTACTCCTCCCTCCTCCACTTCCCGGTGCCAGAACTGGATTCCCATACTCATCCACATAGTACCCCCCATGCTGCTGCTGTTGCTGATGATACTGCTGATGAGAATATTGAGGAAACGCCAGTGGTCCACTAATAGACATATCCTCCATCCCGCTCAGCGGGCGGTGGTTGCTGGTGGACATTACCATGTCTACCATGAGACCACCACTGCTCTTTCCACCGCTCAGGTTGCTGCCGCTCCCGGTGGTTTGGTTGGGGTTGTTGGGAGAGTTGTGGCTGCTGCTGTTGTGCTGCTGTTGGTGGAGATTGAGTTGGGGAGGAGGGAATTTCTTCTTTTTGTTGTTTTTGATGGGGAGGGAAATGGTGGGCACGAGACCGCTTCGGGTGGTGCGGGAGGAGGAGGAGGCGACAGAGGCGGGGGTGGGGAGGGCCACGGGAGATTGTTGTGGTTGATGCGGTTGTTGTTGTTGTTGTTGTTGTCGTTGTTGGTGATATCCTTGGGATTGTTGCTGTTGCTGTTCATGGTAATGGCTGTCTTCATCGTCCTCTTGGTCTGCTGAGGCGAGACGACGTGCGGCGAAGAGACTACGCTGGCCTTTGGCGTCCTTCTCCGGATCCGCTGCGTAGTAGTTCTCGTCGTCGTAGAAGGTGGTCGCGCCTGTTCCCCCGGATCCCGGTGGAGAGGGAAAGGTCTGCTTTTCTTTGCTTCCCGTCACCCTCGCATCGTTCTCCCTACTTCCTCCTGTTACGGTGGCGGTGGCAGTGGATGAAGAGCCGCGATAGGCTTGCAGTGGCATGCTGTTGCCGTCTGTGGTTGAAGGACAGTACACCGGGTTGCTGTTGTCTTCGGAGGGTCGACGAGTGATGGGTTTGAGTATTGTCCCCCGAACCACTGCCTTGGGAAGATATGCTGGATGGGTCGGCATTGCGCTTGCCATGTCGTCTAGTGGAGGTGACTCTGGGTTTTGGGTCCGGGGGTCTGCTGAGAACTGGGCGGGAGTTGAGTGCCCTGTACCTCCCTGTTTGTCCATCTTGTAATCCAAAGTGTAGGTTGGAGCTCGGCGAGGAACTGGCCCGAATGTCCTCCCCATGTGGTGCTGGCCCCGTTGAACAGAGTTGGCATACTGATAATACTCGCTGTCTTCGGCATCATAGCGTCGTTGTCGTCGATAGTAAAGGACAAATAGAGCAGCACTGGCCAAGAACAGCGCCGCCGCCCCGACAGCTATGCCGACGATAGCCCCGGTGCTCAAAGGCCCTTTGGTGTCTCTCCGGACAAGGGATGTCCATGTCTGTGTTGTCATGGTCAGACACACAGAGGATCACCTCTATGTTCGACAAGAAAGAAGGGTGCTGGCGTTAAAAAACGGTTACTCAAGCGTTAACCTTGTTCAGATGTCGTCCGGTCCTTGGCCATCTATGCAGGCGTTTCTGTATATTAGAACTCCCTGTCGCTGCCTTGTAACTGGGCAACACTCGAAAGGAACCCGGGGACGCTAAGGTCGTCCTCAAGTCGAAAGAAGTCAAAATAGACGGACGAATCAGTCCCGAGGGGAGAGGAAAGGTGAAGGCAACCACTTGGGGCTTGGCATAGTCAAATACACTGAAGATATAATGTAAGTAGGAGGAGCAGGCTGGCTGTTGGGACTCGGTCCTCCGCTGATCTTACCTCCAAGGTTACACGGCACAGTAAGACTGCCTTGGACGGGCACAAGAAGACGAGGTCACCATCACCCGGGCAGTTGGTACTGTAGTAATGCGCTGCGGTAAATAGTGAGGTAGTGACTAGTTAAATAATATCGACTAATATCCAACAGTGATGCTAATGCAAGACAACTAGGATATCTTGAAGGACTAATGTAAAGAAAGTGAAAGAGTAGCATTGCGAGTATCGACGATCTTACCTCAAACTAAGCTCTAGACAGCCAGATTCCTGAGCTTCCGGCAGGGCCACAGCCATACAGATAGGAAGGTTTTGTCCAGGATGTGCCGAGTGAGGCTGTCCAGTCGGCAGGTTTGCTAGAGGGCTCCCGCTGAAAATGGGGTGCTGCAGGTGAGAGCAGAGGCCGCGAAGGGGCGGGTGTGAAGAGACGGTAGGGCGCACTGGCTGAGCTGCGGAAGACCCTCGACTGTGGCCACACCCGTTGTAACACCAGTTCTAGTGGTTCCTACGTGGTGTCGACTGCGGACCATGGATTCGACCCGTCCTGGGATTGGTAGACTGGCATCAGGCTGGTCGAGGCCCTTTTCCCCAGGGAAGTCCCGTCTTTCTTCTCATCCCTTGGCTTGTTTGGTTTATCCATCTGATGGATGGATGGGTTGGGACAGTTGGGACTTTTGGCCTGTGGTGGTGTGAAGGCATGACCCAATCATGTTGGCTCGTCAGGAGGGCGGGATATCGGGATGGCCTCCAACGGTTTTCGGGTCTCCAAGAGGCAACCGAGCGTGGGCAAAAAGGATACGTAACAGTCACAAGTCTGGCGAGTCTGGTTAGCCAACTGTTTGTTTGCCTCGATCACGAGCCAGTTAGGGCCTGGTTTGACAAGCGCTAGAGTGTGACATTGGCAAAGTTTGAGCAGCACGCAGCAGAGATTTCTGGAAGAGAAATGGCAGTCGAGAATAATAAGAGGAGAACAGTGTTGAAAAAGAGTCCAGTCACTGCCAAGCATGCGCACAAGGTGACTGGAGTAGGTTAGGTTGTCAACTGGAAGTGTCAAAAGTGCGTGCAAGTGGAAGGTGACCGTTGAAAGTGGACACCGGAGGGCATCTGCAATCAAAGATGGGGGCCCGGACTGTCCCGCGCTAATCTCAATGGACCTTGACGACCTGGAGCTCGGGCTGCAAGCGAACACGCGCACGGACCATCTCCAGATCTCTTGCCATCACCGTCCAATGGAGTTGAGGGCTGAAGATCTGACCCTGGGCTCAACAGCGAGTAACAGTTCGGCACTTCACCTTTTTCGTTTTCCCAGATGACAGCCAAATCTCGGAAGACGATTATGGATACGGAATCCTTCTGAAGGAAGTGAAGCGCACAATCATCCGGGGACATCCCAATGGTGAAATGACCTGTCGGCCTTCTATGAAAGTCGAAACGAATCCACATGGGCGCGGGCGGCACAAAACGACCGTTGTCCCTAGCGCTCCCGTTGCTGATCATCCCGTCCATGGCTGATTCACCATTTCCGTCCCGCTGATGTTTTTTGCGTGACAAAATTGAAGCCGAGACTTGTCAGAACGGAAGACCAACATGAGCCTCTCCGTTCCCGGAATGCCCTCCCATGTTTTACCCCGAGCTTCCCCTCCCTCCCGACACCCTTCGTGCCGATCAATCAGGCGTGTATGTACACTAGGTCTACAGGACTGTCAGCAGTGGTCGTGTGGGGGGCCGAACTCGCGACCCCAATGATCCTGGCATGTTGGCCTGTCTCTTTTTCTTCTTCCCCCCTCTCTTTGTTCGGTCTCTTTTCTGCGATTTTTGCGAAACCCTCTGGCTCTCCCCATCGTTCCTACTATGTAACTTCCATTTCCATCTTAGGAGGCCCGTCTGCCCCATCATATCACCATGCAATATGTACGGCCCGATATGTGTCACTATTGAGGTTGCAACGCATCTGGCCGCCTCCACCCTTTCTAGGTGCGCCCATCTTTTGAGGACCTCGGTTGCCAGTCTTAAATGATCAGGGAATACAGAAGTGTCTGTACCTGTAAAACGTAGAGACTGCTGAATGTCCGGGCTGCAGCATCTGGCAAGATTGGCTGTTACTCTTCGATAACTCGGTAACTTCTCTTCGGGTTCACAGCAGCCTTGTCCAAATTTCCTCGTCTGCCAGTCGGGATGCTATGAAGGAAGAGGATGAATGCATCAAGGTCTAACGACATGACCAACTCAGCCTGTTTACCTCATGTTCGATCCTCAAAGGACAGCAGGTGTTCGCGCCGGACTACACGCAGAATGCAGTATTAATCGGCACCCATCACTCACCAGTTCTCGCCAGTCATCTTTGAGAATATTTCCCGGCTGTCTGGTTCACCCTCAATATGATACGAGAAAATGCATTACGCGATGGGCACAATGCTTAGCCGACCCTGCTAAGTCGCCGGGTTGTGTTCAATATAGGGAAGGAGACAAGGGAGATCAGCAACAGTAACGACCGGCTTGACATCCGCGTAGTTGACGTTGCATTTTCTGCGGCAGCCGTCTGTAAAAACCTCTCTGTCTGATCCCGTTGGTTCCTCGGACAGCTTGTCTACGTAGTGCAACACTACCAGACCCGTGCCGCAAAACACTTCTTATGTACACCTCCTCCGGCATTTAAAACGTTAGCGCGGTGAACTGAGGTAGTGGCAATAACTTAATTCTCCTTACAAAAGATACCCACTTTGCTCACCTCCAATGCCCTGAATATTGTAGAGTGGCGGTACCACGCTAACGAATTATATGCCGACAGAGGTGTACACCATGAGGAACCTTCGCAAGTCGAACGGTTTCGGCCCCCATCTTTATCTGTTTTCTGCGCCCTCGAGGAACAGGAGCCTCGGCAGAGAGGCCTCAGCCCCGGGCACAGCCATCACTCAGATAAAATGCTTTAGACGAGGCCTTCAGGTTGTCAGCTGTCCCCCAACAGTTGCGGTAACACTACTTACTGACCGGGTCAGCTATTTGCACTTTCATGAGCTTTGAATGCTCGAGTCGCGGGTCACGTCTACGTATGGTTCTTGACATGGCACATGTTCTGCCTGTCACTGAATCGAGCTCCTCCGGAGGCTTACAAATGGAATAGCCAGGGCATCTAAAGGTACCGGGCGCTTGTTATCAACAAATTGGATGACAATTCCAGGAACATGGCATAGTTAAGCCTTATCTGGCCCCTAAGGTGCCGACCGTTCACAGCAATAAGTACGGAAAGGTCTGAAGAAAGTCGAGAAACTCGCATTTTGCCTGTGTGGTAGTTATTTCTTACGCTTCTAGCGCTAGCTGCCACGCCACAGTAGCAAAGCACCAGTCCCCCCCCCCCCCCCCCCCCCCCCACCCTCTCTCCGTCTCTCCTTGGCGATATCATGAGACCGTGAGGGCAAAAGAGCCAAAAGACTCTACAAATGTGCAGCGCAGGGCAGAGTTGAGTTCGGTAGTTCGCCATAAGGGATAAGTCGGCCACAAGACAGCACTCAAACGGTTTCCAGCCAATCAAAAGCGCAAAGTTTATGGTTTTGAAGGCCATAAGCTGCCGGTCCGGTATGTCGGTGAGCTCCAAGAAGCTTCCATCCTCACCTTCACTACTGTGCGAATTTTACGAATCACTTCAATTCTCAGACACCATTGGCTGGATACCAAGATCTGTTACTTGGCCATGATCTATCAGATTGTACAAGCTAACTAACGACTTGACAGTTTTGGTTGTCCTATATTTTCCAGTATACGATGCTCTCCAAGAAGCCATAAATGCTGTGAGTTCGCGATGAGGAAACCATCGTTCTGCAGAAACACGCTGGAATTGAACTGTCGGAAGGATGATGAAGTTACAACGTACCGCTGGCGAACTGGCTTCAGATGAGGCTCAAAGACAGTCAGAAAGCCATCAAGCCTCATTCCCCCTTTTTGTCTGCAATGGGCGGGCAAGCGCATTGTCTTTCTTCTCACGTGAACCCTGTCTTCTTTTTCCTTTTCTAGCTTCTCGCACCCTTCTACTGCGCGTTTGCCATATCAACACCTACAATGGTTATGCGACCTGGACAATACGAAGGATCTCTAGTCTCCTACGATGCATTGACTAATGGTTCGGCGTTGACGACAACACCACCAAAAAAATCGTTAGCCCGCCACAGGCCTAGATTGCGATGGCAAAAATAAAGCCAAATCTAGGTATGGAATGTGGGAAGCAGCGTTGTCGGAAACCAAAAATAAGTGAGAGTCGAAATGTATAAATGGACAACGGGTTCCTGCATGGAAGAAGAAGAAGAGTAACACAGCATCTCAGCATCACAATTACCATTCTTCTATCGTCCGCAACGACTAACCCCCAGACTCCATCACCTTTCCGGCTCAGACCAAACCAACAGGAAAGCACCAACGATGCAGCTCCAGACCGTCCTTCTTTACGCCCTTCTGTCGGGCCTTCCGACTACCCTCGCCAACCCCATCAGCGAGGTCCGCGCCCCAGGCGAGCTCCATGAGGTTACCAAGCACGGCAACAAGAAGGGTGGTCATGGCAACGGCGGCGGCAATGGCCATGGGAAGGGACATGGTAACGGCAACGGCAACGGCAACGGCGACGAGTGGGTGGACCAGGGCCCCTGGTGGTCAGTGAAAGGCTTCTCTCGTCACTGGAATGATACCACGCACTCGGTTGAGCTCAGCTTTGCCATCTGGGACTCGCGGGACGATACAGAGGTGCCCTGCAATGTCAACGCTCGCATTCCCGATGGACAGAACTACAAGTTTGCTGAGTTCCACTCACTGCCCTGCGCCAAAAACGATGTCGGGGCTGGAAAATGGTTGATCTCGATGGGATACGTTGAGTATTTTGATGCGGGTATCATGAATATCTGCGAGTGAGTTGCCTCCTTCTTTCTCCTTCCTAGACGCTTCGATACACTATTGATTTGTGGGCTATGCTGACAAATTCTGATTTCCAGTACCACTGTGGTCGACGGCTCACCTTCAGCGTCGACTTGGTTTTCGTTTGAGGGCATCAACAGGCCTAAGGAACACGGTTTCCGTGACATCGAGAAGGTCCCTGTCGGGTGGACCGATTTTGGGTGTGTGTACAACGGGAGCCCTTACCCTTTGTAAGTGCCTTTGGAGGCCATTACAGATGGTAATGATGATGATGATGATAATAATGATGCCTGGAATGACTGATTGGGCTACGAGAAATGAGGAAGAGGTTGGATTGACGAATAACATGTACACGCCGAATATGACGTTTGGTGGGCTGTAGTTGTGCCGGTATCAAAGGTTGTTTATAAAGCAAAGGGAGACGTGAACAATTGGAGAGAAGAGAGAAAAGAGAAGAAAATGCCAACCGTTTCATTCTCCACGAAACCCCGATCGATCCTCCGACCCAAACGGTCCAAGAAACCCAGAACTCTCAGCAGAGCCTGACTGACCCCACTGCCATCCCTCACTCACTTACTCACTCATCATCTTCATCCTTCCCATACGTCTCCTCAAATTGCTTCCACATAGCCTGATCTGCCGCTATCCTCCTCCTCATCCTCATGGTTTTTTCGTACTCGCGGATCCGGTGATCCGCCTCCAGCATACCGCCCAGTACCATACCAGACATTTGTATGTATCTGCATTTCTCATTTCATCAGTAACTGTTCCCCTCTCTTGGGTCACCTAGTCAATGTCACATGGCATTTTACTCGCGATCCAAAGCAGATAAAGTAACAGAACAAACCAAAATATGCAACGGGAAATGAAAACAGAGGAGGAATTGACAGACAACAGGGAACAAAAAGAAAGAAAGAAAAGGAAGGAAAGAAAAAGGAAGATACATACACCTTGAACTGAATAGTAAACCCCCTATACATCGGAGACACGGCGTATCCAAGTCCGCCCAACATCGCCGAGGCCACACCCCACTTGAAGGCTCCGGACAAGGCGCCCTTGCATGCTTCCCATGAGGCTTGGTTGGCCTCTTCGTGCTTCCTGGTGTTTACGTCGAGTGGCCTGGACATTTTTGGTGTTTTGTGTGTTTGTCTGAGAGAGAGAGAGGTATATGGCGTGGGTGGAGGCAGTGTGAATTGATAATGAGGGACTTCCTGGGGTGGTGGTGGTTGGAAGGGATTTGGGGTCGTTGAGCCTGACGGTTCTTGTTTGAATTTGTTTCGTTCGGCTTGTTGGTTTGGTTGTATAAAGGTCGGTTTGAGATGGTTTGGTGATTCACTCTCGGAAGGCCGTCTCCCGGAACGTATGAGATGTGGAGTGAGTCGTTGCCGGTGGATGCAACTAATAGAGATGGTTTTGCTGCCGATTTGTCTTTCCTGACGAGCTGAACGTAGCGTTATTTGTCTTTGTTCAATTACAGACGTTGTCAGCGTGAGGCTTCGGTGTCGTATAGTGTCTTTTGGGTATAGAAATCACCAAGAGGAGGAAAAATATATGTACGTCACATGAACGACTGGGTCGTGCGAGGTTCCGTATTATTTCTAGGGATTTTCTTGCGCTTCCACTTTCCCCTCGATCCCCATTCTGTTGTCCGCTGTGGAGCCCGCGTACGTCCGACTTTCCGAAAGGGGAACTTTGTCAACAACCTGCATCAGGGGTAAATTCCCTAGGTATACATTCGCCAATTCGCAAGATGCATCTGGTTTTCCATTCTTCACCTCAACTCTACGCCGTCGCTATGGCGAAATGATGACAGCCGAACATGCGCGCAAAGTACCACGGTAAACGACATTACATGGTATCATTGCACTTCTATATCCAAACCCATAACCTACTCCCTTCCCACTTCCTTATACGCTGAGCGTTCCCTTGGTGCTAGGAACTTCACCCTCGCGACCCGCCACCCGGCTAGTAGCCTGCCTCGTGGCAACCGCAAGCGCCTTGAATGCGCTCTCAGCTCTGTGGTGGTCGTTGTCGCCGCGGAGGCAGTCGACGTGCACGGTGATGCGGGCAGCCCCGGCAAAGCTATGGATGCAGTGGGGGATCATCTCGGTGCTGAGATCGCCAATCTTCTCACGCTTAAGACCGAGGTCGACAACGGCAAAGGGACGGTTCGACAGATCGACGACGGCACGGCTGAGGGCCTCGTCGAGAGGGCAGTATGCGTATCCGAAGCGCGCGAGGCCGGTGGGTGTGCCGAGAGCCTTGGCGAAAGCGTAACCAAGAGCGATGCAGACGTCTTCGGCGGTGTGGTGGTCGTCGACTATGAGAGGGATAAAGTCAATTCAGAGTTCTGGATGTTGATCCACGAGGACTTTTGCGCCCAAGCCAAAGATGTCTACTAACTGTGAAGGTCGCCCTTGCAAGCAAGCGCAAGACTCCAGCCGGCATGCTTGGCAAGCGCATGGAGCATGTGGTCAAGGAAGCCAATGCCGGTATTGACGCTGATGGTTTGCGATTTGCTAGCCTGGGTGGCATGGCCGTCGGCGATACTGACGTTCAAGCGGGCGTCGGTCTCGGGAGGGAATGCGCCGCCATCAAGGTTGAGTGCGATCTGGATCTTGGTCTCGTTGGTGTCGCGTGCAAAGGCGGCCCAGCGGGGCGCAGGCTGTTCGGTGCTCATTTTGTCTGAATAGGGCGTCTGAGACTTCTGGGGACCGTAGACTCTTGGGATATCACCACTGCAATGTGATCAATTGCGATGTAAGGATGGCGACAATAAAGGTGATCTTGGAAATTTTGGCGATTTCGGAGCGCCACCAGTGACGGGAGGGAACCAAGAACGCACCGATAGGCAATCGATAAGTACCTCTATGGAATAGGTACCTAGTGCTGCCAACCCCGCGCTTACACTAGAAGGGAACTAGACTTTCCTGCTCGCCTGCCGATCTCCAGCTGCCAATTAGAGATTTCAAGGCCGCCCCACAGCGAGTTGACAGACCCCACTGCCCCGTAGCCGCGCTCACCCAGGCATTGATACAGTGCTATTCAAGCTCTACCTAGAGGTAGGTACCTAGGTACCTTGGATTAACAGCGATAAGATAAGGCAGGGACCAATTCCGGTCCCAAATTTTTCCCCAGAAGTCGACCGAACTGAAGCGACAGCGTACAGGATACATTCGAGAGTATTCGTACTCCATCCACCCATCCATATCCCGAACCACCATTCCATCTATCGTTGATTTCTTGCGACCTAATCAACGAATCAACCACAACTAACAATGGCGCCGACAAAGACGATAAAGAACAAGCACGCTGCGAACAAATCTGGCATCAAGGGCAGCAAAGATGCGGAGAGGTCGAGGAACGATGGAGTGCTCAAGTCTAAGGGAAAGCCGAAGGGCAAAGCTCACACTCTCGTGACTGCCAACAAGGGCCGACCGAACATCCAAGAACTTATTGCCAGGAAAAAGAAGAAGAAGACCTACAGCGAAAAGGAGCTTGCGATTCCGGAACTCAACATGATCACCCCCGTTGGTGTGACCAAGCCAAAGGGAAAGAAGAAGGGCAAGGTGTTTGTTGATGATAAGGTAAGCTCTATTTCGTTAGCGTCTGGGGTCATATTGGTTTTTTGGTTTTTCTTTTGCTAGGTTTCAAGACCGGAAAGCATCAAGTAACTGACATGTTTCCCCCCTTTGTACAGGAGAGCATGGCCACTATCCTAGCCATCGTACAAGCAGAAAAGGAGGGCCAGATCGAGTCCAAGATGATCAAGGCGCGACAAATGGAGGAGATTCGCGAGGCGAGACGCGCTGAAGCCGAGAAGAAGGAGGCCGAGCGCAAGGCCAGACTTGAAGAGACTAAGGACTCGCTGCGCAAGAAGCGTAAGCGCAGCAAGCAGTCGGGCGGTGGCAAGGGCGACGACGACGACGACTCCAGAGATGTCAAGGAGTTCTCGTCTGCAGGCACGAAAGCCGTTAAGTCGAAAAAGAAGAAGTCGGTATCCTTCGCTGCTCCCGAATAAATAATCAAGCAAGGATGCTGGGAGCTTTGAAGGTCCCTCCTGGGAATGGGCTGGGAGAGTGAAGACGGGAAGGGTGGAAGTTTGTCGTGTAATACCTACACCAAGCATTTTTTCTTCGCATGTATGGCGTCTGGGCGTTTATATCAATCAAAGTCTGGCGGCGGGTAGGATGGCTTGGCTTGGGGAAAAGTTCTGACTGATTTTGTGTGTGGAAATTAAAGATACCAATTGGGCACGCCAGCCTTGGTCCAGCCTCTTTCTCATGAGTCGGTAGATGTTATTAGGCGGAAACCGTCAGGATGGTGTAGCTCGTGGCTCGTATAAGCCATCAATGAACGTACGTCCGGACCTGTACCCAAGTCGAAAGCACGAATCTAAGTCTATGTGCAGCCCCAATGTGCCCTGAAGCGCGTCTAAACCCTTCAGGCCCAAGTGATGGACCTATCTCTATAGCTAATCTATGTACAGTCTTCGATTTCTCAAGTGTTCATTCCACCACCATTTATTGATTCAGATCGAGAATCTGCAACTTTCGCTGCACAGGGTCGAAGTGAGTTTTAAACTGGCTATCGAACTTGTCACAAGCATCAGGCTTGATGGCGTCCAAGTCAATATCGAAAGCCATCTTGTTCAGGAAGTTGCAGATCTAGACAACAAATCAGCAAAAAGCAACCGGAAAGCGAGACAAAAAAAAACTAAGAAAAAAAAAGAAAAAAAGAAAAAGAAACTTACAGGGCGAGTATGCCATCGTCCGCCACCAAGCTCGAACCATGAAAGATGTCCGCCGAGAGACGTGAGGCAAAGAACCGTATAGGGATTCTGCTTGATCTCTTGGTAGGGGATGGCTTCCTCAACAGCGATCTAGTGATGTGTCAGCTCTACGCTTATGGGGGTTTTCGAAACCGCACTAAAAGGATAAGATATGCTCACCGGATCATCAGCAGCAGAGAGGGCCATAAAGGGAATCCTGATGCCTAGGACAGCGTCACATGAGGAAGCATCGCGGTAGTAGGCGTCCTCGGTGGGGTAGCCCCAGGTTACGGTCTGCACTTCACGATCAAACTCGTTCAGGTAGGTGATGTTCTGTATCCTGTCATAGTCAAGGTTGGTGTACTTGAGCACGGTCTCCTTGTGGTTCGCAACCAGCTTCTTCATGTTGGCTGCAAAATGACATGTGAGTCAGCATCTTTGTGAAGCAGTATGTGATTAGTTGATTGAACTTACTTCCCATCACCCGTTGGTAAAGTCTTCCCAAGTGAGTTCGCCGTAAAGCTCTGTTGGTGACATCTAGGTTGAACGGGTTTCCAACCGCAACTGCACCCTTCAGCAGACAACCCTCTCCTTCCTCTCCGACATACTATATCGGACACATTAGTGGAGGTTCGAAAAAGTTGCCTACGTTGACGGTTCAAGTTACCTACATTAGTTAAAATGTTCGCACCCAAAGAGAAGCCAACGCCAAAAAGGGGACGGTTGGGAAAGTTCTGTCTGGCCCATTTCACAACTTGTCGAATATCCCATGTGGCCCTGGCATTGAAAAAGAGACCGCTTGTAACGGCGCTGTTGGCGCATCCACGAGAGTTGACCACGCAGATTTCCCACTTGCCACTCTCAACAAGAGGCAAAATGGCGTGACGGAGATAGATTTCATGCGAGCCTCCGGACAAACCGTGGAGCACGATAAGCATAGGCTTGCTGTCATCCGAAGGTAGGTTGGCGAAATCTTGTTCGGAGAAGTAAGCGGTCCTAGGAGGTAGTTTCTCTTCAAAGTCCTGGTGCGGCTCAGTCACAAAATCGACAGTGAAGGTGCCGGCGTAGAGCTTGTGGTCTGAATCGAAGATCTTCCGGCGATAGTAGATCTGGGGGCCATGCTCCTTAACCACAGTCCACATGGTCTGGACATGTCCGTTAAACAGAAGCGGGTTCAGTTGGCATGGCGGAGTGGCCAGTTCGCAGACCTTGAGTAAGTCGGTCGTCGTGCCATCCTTCTGCTGGAGTGTAAGTGGTGATGTGTGGTGGGTGAAAGAGATCTTGGCGCGACCGAACCAGTCCATGATTACGCCTAAACGACCGTTGACCCGGCCTACCCGTACAAGTGTTGAAGAGGAAATTGTGAGGATGATAAGAGCTGAAAGAGTAGGTATGTTAAAGGAAAGAATATCAAAAGCTCGTGGATGACCGACAGACAAACTTCTATTTATACCGACTTCAAAGTGCCGAGGTACAAAGAAATGACAGCAAAGTCAATCTTTTGGCGGCGGTCCTTGACCTGGCGCTGCTCCCCCCCTATACCGTTATCACGATGTTGATGACGATGACAACAAATCGCGGTTTGGAACTACTTTACTTGATGTTACCTTAGAATTTCAACCTTCAATTCAAAATATCGCGCCTCAAGACGGACTCCCCAGCCTATTGACTCGTCCCTTTTCAGCCCACGGCGCGGGTGAGCTCCCAAGGTTCGAAAGTCTAGTCCGGTTCCATCCCATCTTCGTTTCCGTCTCCACAGCATCATGCCCTGATGGGCCCCAAACAGTCGGGCGGACAGCGAGTGGTACGAGTGGGAAACTCGGCATTCCTTGTTGCATCCAGTCGATTCCCGTCCCCTGCCCTGTCTTCCCGTCGGACCTGCAGCGCGCCCAGCAAATGCGGATTCTGGTGATGCCTGCCCTGCCTGCTATGTATTGTGGGCCACATAGCACCCGTCATCGGGCGCCAATCAGCAGAAGGATAGCGTCTGTGGACGCATGGACTGTCCTTGCCGCGGCGGCAGCGCGCTAACAGTCAGACACGGCAGTAGCAACCACGCAGACATCAACTGGAAGCAAGCTGCTCTTCTTCCTGCCAACATCACAGACACCTTGAAAACTTTCGTCGCCTTTGTCAAATCCTTCTTTTAAACGAACATTGACCATGCTACGCTCCTAGCGACCTTCATCTGTCACATTCGCCCAGTATCTGAGTAACCCGACACCGATAGCGCGCAGTTCCCACCGCCGATGCACGAACTTATCTACGCCCGCCGCGACCCGAAGAGACAGAGACCATTCTCCAATTGACAAATGCCATGACATATCACGATGCGATGCCCCCGGGGCAGCCATACGGCATTTACCCTCAACAGAATCAGAATCAGCAACCGCAGCAGCAGCAGCAAGCTCAACAAGCCTTTCAGCCCGTTGCCGGGTATCACCATCAGCACCACCAGCAGCAATACGTGAATGGCTACCAGAATGGGCACCCTCAGTATCTTCAACAATCTCAACATAGTCAGCAACCACAGGTCCCGTACGCGCAGTCAGCCTATCCCCAGGCGCAACCGACCTTTGATTCCAATAACCCGGTCAACCTGTCGAATTATAGCTCCAAGCCTACCACGTCGTTCGCTCATACCCCGCAAACGACGACGGCGCCCGTTCAATTCGTCGATCCTTCCTTCCTCCAAAAGCAATATGTTCCGCCTGTACAAACAAATCGTATCCTTCCAGCACCTCATTCGATGACCTTGCCAAGTCCTCAGCTACCTCTGCCTCAAATTTCGCGGCACAATCAGCAAATACCGCTGCAACAGATTCAACAGACAACAAATCAGCATGACCAACAGCAGCGGCAATACCAAAAGCAGCAGCAGCAGCAGCGAAACACACCGAATCAACATCACCAACAACAGGCACGGCAACAACCATACTCTCAACCTTCACAACCCCAGAGCTCCCCGCATGTACAGACACAACAGTTGCATCAGCCGATCTCTCGGCAGAACGGCCATAGGCCAGATGAGAGGCTCCTACAACCCCAAGCGACACCTGCTGAAAGGGCTACGCCACGCGGGTCAGGTCGGCCCCCTTCTGTCGCGAAATCATCTGCTTCGGCGCAAAGAACCGGCCATGTCGAGACGCTGCCACTGTTGCTATGCGTGGCCGAAGACTGCTTCGCCAAAGCACACGCTGCAGCCTCCAAAATTGCGAGGTCAATGTCAGATAGTGAGGTCAAACAATACCATAAGATGGTAGCGACAGGCCTGGGCTGTCTTGAAGTCGCCATGAATTCCAATAAGCTGTGGCCGCGTCTCGAAGCTAGACTTTGTCTTAGATACGCCAGTGTTCTCATAGAGGAAACCACCAATATTATGGAGGCCGAAACTGCTCTTACCAGGGGTATTTTGGTCTGCGAAAAGGTATGTCACTCGAGGACAGTGGGCAGCAGATATCTGAAGACGGGTTAGGGCTGACTCTAAATAACAGCATCGTTTCATCGACCTCAAATACTGCTCGCAGTTTCTCTTAATGAAGACGCTTTTTCAACGCAATCCAAGAGCAGCGTTCAAGTCACTTGATACCCATATAATGGATGCTACTATGTACAAACACGCACCATGGGTCTATGCATTTCGCTTTCTGAAAGCCGCGTTTCATATTCAGTCAGGAACTGCTGCTGATCACCATGCGCTGGAAAACTTGCGCCGGATGGCGTCGATTGCGACAACAAGGGACGAGAAGGCTATGTTTGTCATGGTAATGCTCCTGGAAGGACTGTCTCATCTCAACACGATGAAGGATGACTGGATCAACCGTGTTCAAAATTGTATTGCGCAGGCACAGAAACTGCAATTTGATGATGCTGCTCACCTTCCTCAGCTCGACGTCCTTCTACTGTTGCTCGATCTTGCTTGCAGCCTTCGGCAAAAGTCTCACAGAGATGCTGCTCAAAAGCTGAGCGTCCTTCAGAGCAAGTTAGAGGAACTGCGCAACCTTCCAAGCTGGTCCTCAGTTTCGCATGAGCTTCTTCTTCCCATAAGACGCGTTGTTAACGACGCTGCTCCGACACTCAGCCGCGATACAGAGGCCGTCCTCCGGCGTGGGGATGGCGTCTTCGATTACTTGGTGTTATCAGCTCTGGGAAAACAAGGGTCGTTCGCAATGGCGTAAGTGAATCGGTATTTGACAAGTAGGTACACTTGAATACTGATCATTACGCAGGTACATATTCAACGGCATAGTGGCACTTTACAAATCTACTACCTTGGGAAGAAGCTCGACAATCTGGACAGAAGCTGTGCGGTTGTTGGAAGGTATGCATTAGTGAGCACCGGTCTTTCAATCAGTTCTGCTAACCTGTTACTCAGACAAGAACTCGGGCTCGGGACCGAAGCCGCTCCCGGATGCTCTCGCGCATGCCCAGTGGGCAAAGGGTGTGAGCAACTATGCTCAAGTCCTGGTTGGACTGCAAGCCGCCACTCTTTCGGACTGGCGGAAGGTGAAGGCGTGTCTCGATGCGTTGGGTACGGCGCAACAGCCAGAAGGGTTCTTGGATGTGCTGACTCTTTACTTGACCGGAGTCTTCAAACAAGGAACCTGCAAACTTGGGGAAGCACTTGTGATCTGGAAAGACCCGAGGTTCGCAATGGACCGGAGTGGACTACCGCAAAATAACACGAGCCACATCATTTCGGAACTATGCATCCTAGCTGCGCTGAATCGGATCTGGATCATGCAAGCGCCAGCACATCGTAGTGATGGAGAAACCGCACAGCTCCTGGATTTTCTACGGCCGCTCTGTGAGGATAATCCTGATCTGGATATCAGGATTACATACAACCTGGTGCTCGCCTCCATTACGCTGGATCCGCCGCTGCCGATCAACCAGGTCAAGCAGCACATGAAGCTATCGCTCAACGGCGCGCAAAACACCAGCAACACACATTTCCTGTCGATCGCGTTGAACATTATGCGTAACAAGCTCTTCGAAAATGTCGTTGGAGAACAGGCGCTGAAAAGCGCAAGAGCAGGCACGGCACAGGCAAAGAAGAGCGGAAATCTTTTGTGGATGAGCGTGGCCGAGGGTATGCTCGCACAGTCTCTCGAACAACAAGGGCTCAAGGAAGAGGCAGAAAAGACACGCGAAGACGGAACTCGGCTGGCCAACGAGGCCCGTCTTCGAACCCAGGTGGAATAAGAGCTTGGAGGTATCTTGGTGGTGAAGGGGTAAGGATGGCTTTACATTGTATTCGGTAGCGTTATGTGTTCTAGCGATGTGGGGCGCACCGGTTGGAGTTTCTTGTCGACGGGGTATGGTGCATGTAAGCGATCTGTCAATTCTTAGATCGGAGTGACTGGAGCATGATCCGACGAGAAACCATTAGAGGGGTATTTTCTAATGGGCATGGAGGAGTATGCATTTGCAAAACGATACCCAGGCATATCTCTGTAGTTGATCAAGGCATGGAGAATCTTCATATACAGTACATGCAAAAACCCCGGAGCTGGAATTCGTGACGGCTAAATGTCCAGGACGTGACGACCGGCAATTGAACACTTTGTGGGGCACTGTGATGCCCCATAAATAAATGACAGCAAGCTCCACCGAATGGAGCGGCGCTAGTGGACAATAAACCCCAGCAAAAAAATTAATCCAGGTAGAGACGAGACCGATAACGATAGTAAACATAGTTCCGTAGTGTGAAGATTGTCGTTGTTTTGCCTCCCCCAAGTTGACCGGCCCCTCCGAGAAACCGGCAACCAAGCCATTCTTTTTTCGTTTTCTTGTCTCTCCGCTCTCCCCCTCCTTTACCCTTGGACGTGGAGGACTTTGTGCTGGCAGCGTTGGAAGAGATTACTTTACGGCAATCCGAGACTCGCTCGCTTCGTAGAGTGACCATCCGAAGGACGTCCCAGTCCGGATTCTCGATTTCAGTCGCAAACGCCGACCCGAAGTCGCAGAGATGTTGCAACTGACCAGCAAGACGCGCCGCACGATCAAGCCGCACATTCTCCGCACGTCATGTCTCACCCTAATTTCGAATGCTCACCCGAGGCCCGCCCCTCTCTACAATCCTGCTAGGCTCTACTCGACTGAGCAGCCAGACAAGCCGAGCTCACACGCTAACGCTCTCGAACCGAAAGACAACGACTTCAAGCCTGCACCGGGCAAGCAGCGCCTACACCCACGGGCTCTTAGGAGTAAAACCACTAAAAGGCGAGGCGGGGCGCCCAATGCACAGCCGTTGACCAACTTCTTGAAGGACCTCGAGACAGGAAGCCTGAACGCTGGGCAGCAAGAACAAGCAACGACAACAACACCAGAAGCGCTTGAACCCACAACAACAGATGGCGCTCAAGATGGCACACCAGAAGCGGCAGAGGGAGATTCCAAGAAAAAGGGAAAGCAGGCGAAGAAGTCAAAGCCGAAGCCAAGCAGTTCCCCTGCTGCTGTTGCCAGTGATCCCAAACTGATGCAACGAGCTACGGCGGTACTACGGAAGGTGCTTGAAAAGGAGCTGCGTGCCGAGCAGGAGAGCGTAGGATCGGAGGCGGGCAAAGACAAGTCTAAACCTGGCAAGAAGAAGAAGCAAAAGTCAACAGAGACAAAACCCACGGAACCGAAGAGTTTGATAAGAAGATTGCAGACCAACGGTAAACTGAAGCCCTCGGGTGTTTTGGAAAAAACAACGGCGGCAGCAGCTATAACTCCAGCACCGGATACGTCGGCGGCGACCACAAAGAAACAGACAAAAGAGACTTCAGCCGAACCAAAGCCTCGCTCACCTGAAGATTTACAATGGCCACCTCCGGGAAGGAAGCTCCACGTGCGACGGGTTGATCCCGATTTGATCAAAATGATACCGGTCCATAAAGAGCAACCTCCTGTGCCAGGTTTGTCTTATGGCTTGGATAGAGCCCTTTTCAACCCTGGAGTCTACCACATGCAGGATCCTAGGTCTCGGGTATGGAATTTCGACCCCTATCTTGCGCGTATCATGCCGATTCAGGAGTTCGATTTCAACGCACTCAAGCAGTATATCACCTCTTCGAAGGATACCACCCTTATCGACATCGCACGAGAAGCGAAGAAGAAGTACACGGGTTCTACGTCGAGTATGACCTCGACACTAGCGCATTTCCATTATCTTTTGTCCTCCTGGCGACCCATCACCACCGGAATGATGTCTCAGTCATTTAGGGCCGATTCGACAAACTTTACCAGGATTATGCGCGCCCCTTCTGCTGCCTTCCTTCACTGGAAGGATGGTGTATATGCGATCGATGCGGACAAGGAATTCGACACAGCAAACGTCCTGAGCATGCTTGGAAAGTCAATGGAAAAGCTTCTGACGTTGCCCAAGGAAGATTTCGAGAAGTATCGCAAAACCAAGTCTCACCAGCTTACCGAGGAGGAACGTGACAGCCCCGAGTCATACCATTACACCAAGTTAGGAGACTTCATGATGCGGTCACAGCTCGATGCCTACGATCCCAGAATTCCGGGCACCGGCATGTTCGATCTCAAGACAAGAGCCGTTATTTCTATCCGCATGGACGCCAAGGGGTTCCAAAAGGGCTTGGGATACGAGCTCCGCCACCGGAACGGTAACTGGGAATCGTTTGAGCGCGAATACTTCGACATGATCCGTTCTGCTTTTCTCAAGTACTCCCTCCAGGTCCGCATGGGCCGTATGGACGGTATCTTCGTTGCCTTCCACAACACCCAGCGGATTTTCGGCTTCCAATACATTCCGCTTACCGAAATGGACTATGCCTTGCACGGCACCCGTGACACCAGCCTCGGTGGCAAGGAGTTCAAGCTCAGTCTCCATCTGCTCAACAAGATTCTGAACAGGGCTACCGCAAAGTGGCCAGAGCAGTCGTTGCGCCTTCACATTGAGACAAGGCCAACTGACCCACCGCTCATGTACATCTTTGCCAAGCCGGTTACGCCAGATGAGATTGAGAAGATCCAGGGAGCCAACAAGAAGATCATTGAGAAGTTTGAGCGCGATATGATGGGCCTGGAGCCGAAGGAAGAGAAGGGAGAGGGTGTTGCCAATGAAAAGACAACTGAGGAGGCCGTGGAGGAAGCGACCGAGGAATCTGTCAGTGAACCTGAAGCGCGTGAGGAGGTCACCACAGCGGACGTTTGGGAGGACATGGTAGTCAAGGTCGAGGAGGCCCTCGAAAACGAGGAGCACGGCGTCACCTCAGTCCGCGAAGCTATTGAGCAGGCCCTTCGCTCGAGTGGCTTGCTCGAAGCCAGCGCCCCTGAGGAGGCGCGCCGTTATCTAGATGAGCTGCTTGAGGCTCTCATGAGCGCTGAGTCGGGCAAGGCTGACGAGTCCGCGGCCGATAACGCAGCCGAGGAATCTGCGTCTGCCGTCTCTGCTGAGGAGGCTACAGAAGTCAAGGTCGAGAATGGTCAGGCGGCTGAGGCTGAGGAGGAACCCACGTTGAAGGATTTGGTCCTTCGCCTCGCCAGCCAAGTCAAAGCAGACCGCAGTGAAGTCGTCAAGGGCAAAGCCGAAGACGATGTGTCTGCGGCGGCGGCGGATGACTCCAAGCTCCGTAAATTCGAGACCATTTTGTCAGAGCTCATTTCCAAGTCCCGGGACACCACTGAAACCGGCGAGATCACAGAAAGTGGTGAGCAGATTGCCGCCTCCACAGACGCCTCCGCCACATCCAAGACGCAAAACCCCGAAGACGAAATCGCCTCCCTCGACGAGACCGTGCACACCAAGACCAACGACAAGTCCATTCTCCCCGAGACCAAGCCCGAACTCCTCGGCATGATCCTGACCATTCGCAACAAGGTCAATGGCGAGTACGTCGAGCGCCCCGAGCACCTGCGCCGCACCGACAAGTGGGAGGTTGAGTACTCGCTCGAGGACATGCCGGCCCTGCGGGCCGAGAATATCTACAAGATGGTTATCCAGCGGCGGTGCAAGACGCTCGACGACCAGGAGGACCGCGACAAGGCCTGGTATGAGATGTTCCAGGGCGCGCTGCACAAGTATACGCGCAAGGGCCGCATGCATCGCAAGAAGGAGATTGAGCTTGGGAAAACCAGGCCAGTGCACGTGTATGGTATGGACAAGCCGCTTGATTGGGAATCGGTCTTTGGCGAGGGTAAGGAGGAAGGTATGTCGTACCGGTGGTATGGGCAGGAAGCGGAGAATGTTGAGACTGGCACCATCGAGCTGAGCCCGGAGGAGGTGGAGGAAGATGATGGGAGTTTGCCGGTGGAGGAGGTAGAGGGGGCTGAAGAGGGCGATGCGGAGGTGGATGTTGCAGCTTTTTCTGAAGAAAAGTCTGATGACCAACCTGAGGCTGTGGAACAACAACAGTCTGAGGAGAAGTCTGAGGAAAAGTCCCAGGAGAAGTCCGAATGAGTTGTAAGGAAGAAGAAGAAGGAGCATGAGGTCGCCATGCTGTAAAAAAAACAAAAGCAAGCACGTGAGATGGAGATGTCAGGAGAACCTTGTAAATGCTCTCATCCCCCATCACATATTACTCTGTACCACCACCACTAGGAGAAGCAAAAAGCATATTGAATTGAAGCATCGCGTTGATTGATCATCCTTAAACCGATTGATAGACCGAGTTACCATACTGTCTTTGTTTGTTCTCTCTTTAGCTGTGCCGGTATTTCAATAATTCGTCTCTCTCTGTTCTCTTCTGGTGAGGCAACACGACCTGCGATCTTTGCCACAAGTGTTAAGTAGTCTGTTTATTTTTCACCTAGGTCTGCTGGGTTTGAACGAACCTGACCACGGAAAAAACTACAGTTGAACAAAAAATCTAAAATCTGAAAGGGGGTCGCTCAAGAATTTTTAGTACGGTCCCTCAAAGTTTGTCACCGTCAGATGGAGGCATGTCTGGCTAAAGTTATCTCGTCGAAGACCAGCTCTTCTGTAAGATAATTACTGCTATCATTATAGTTTTGATTTGGTTTCCAGATGCCGTTCTTTTGATATAACTTTGGCAATCCAAGCAAGGGTTTGAGCATCAAATCGTTGTAGCGTCCCCTCAAAGCAACCACGATTTCCCAATCAATTTGCTGAACCAAAGAACGAATTTGTTTTCTCATCCCTTCAACGCCAATGCTATGCAAATATTCCAGAGGTGAATTTAAGACCACTACTCCCTTCTATACGTTGGCAGGAACGTAGCCTCGTGTTTTCAAAATTGTCTGTAGAAAAAAGCACAGGTAACAATAAAGTAGAAAATGGGAAAGCATCGGTGTTCTTGCCGCCCTCCATCAAAAATAATTCAAAGAGTCATTAATGTGAGCTTTAGAGAGATACTTTGCTTATGCAAAATATGCTTGCAACCTCGGAAGCTGTTCCAAGTCAGCAGCAAAAATAAGGTCGCGCTTCAGCTTGTTCGGGGTGACATCTTGCGTCGTGATCTGTAAGTTTCCATCTTCGCACCAGTTTTTGACGGGCTATGAAAGAAGGAGTGAAAGTCAGTTTTCATCTTCGTTCTACAGGAGCGGACGAAAGAACTTACCAAACAACTCAGATACTTGCACCAGCTGCACTCCTTATGATCCACATAGAAGTTATTAAGCAGCAAGATGAAGATGACGACAGTAAGAGTCAAGAAAGCCGCCCTGACAAGCCACCAAACCCACCACAGCGGCTTCCGACCCTTAAAGAACCCGACAGGATTGCTGAAGAAGGAAGGCGGTGCCCCTTGCCTCAGGAAGCCGTTAGTGTCGACAACCTGCGAGTAAGGTGGTTCGTCGCCGATCCGTCGACGGAGTGCGTTTGGCGATTGCAAAACACAGATTCCCAACGCAAGACCGGTCAAGAAGCCGCCAATGTGGGCAAAGTTGTCCAAGCCCGGAAGTAGACCGAGCACGAAGGAGATGACGATGTCGAGACCGATAAATAATAGGTCCTTCCATGGGCTCTTGCGGTCCCGCCATGAATAGAGCAAATCCAGCAGCAAGAGAGCTATGATACCGAAAAGGGCGCCCGATGCACCCGTCGTCTGCATGCCGTTGGCGGCGAAGTTTCCGCCCATCACGAACCCAAAGATTCCAGCGCTAACGTAGACAATAAAGAAGCGGATCGAACCGATGGACCGCTCCATCTCCTTTCCGATCGTCATCTGGAGAAGCATATTGAAGCCGATGTGGATGACTCCGGCGTGGAGGAACATCGGGGTGATGAAGCGCCACCACTGGTTAGGTTCGGGAACGCTTTCCATGGTCGCGGTCGCATTGTACCAGGGCTCGGGGACGCCGCCGAAGCCACACAGATCGGAAAGAGTACACTTCATAGTCGAAGCATTGACGTCGTATGTCGTCGTATTAGGACAGGGCCAGCTGATGGGCTGTGTTGCGTTTTGGACGCCCGGGATGGCGTGCATGCACGGATCCCAGCGGGCGCCCATGTTGATGAGCATGTAGCTGGAAGGCCCGATGAAGGGGTTAAACTGGGGCTTGATCATGATGGGTGATCCCGTAGCCATGCCTAGATGCGCGATGATTTCATGAGTTAGTGATGCCAGTAAAACGGTTTCTTGGTTGGTTGGTCCATACCGTTCTTGACGAGTTCAGCAATAAACACGGCTACCTGGACGGTGGTAAAAAAGTAAACAACAAAGGGTATCCTCTTCGCATTCGAGCCGAGCATTCCCAGTTGTCCTACACTAACACGCCCGCTACGTGACTTCTTTTGCTGTGGTTGGGGCGCATCGTAGACGTGATCTTGCATCTCGGGGTCATTGTTCTTGTTTCTGCCGCCGCTGCGGTCCTCCAAAGGGATGTCATCTGTGGGATGATTGTAAGCCATATCTTCCTCGGAGGAAACGCGGGTTGGGCCGTGGTAGGCCGCGTCTTGGTAGTGCTGACTATTTAGATGTTGTCGGCTTGATGAAGCACCGGACTGATGTGAAGATGCGGGATAGACATGGTCATCAAAGACGGTATCGAAGGGCGATTGGAAGTTTGCGCTGTAGGAGGTTGGCATCGGTTGTTGCCCCTGGCCATAATTTTGATTATAATGACTGGCACCGCCGCCCTGGTGGCTCGTTGCCTGGCCAGGTATAGGTAGCGGCTTTTGGCTGTAGTATTCATGGTCGTTCATGTTTGTCTCGCGGTGACGTCGTCGCCCTTGTCTGTTGAGAGTGTCGCCGTCGGTTCAACGTGCTTAAAGGTGTATGTGGGACGTCGCGGGGCAGATGTCTCGATGTTCGTCTGCTACAAGTTGTCTAACCCGCAGACGGGGAGATTGATCGCATTCCCAGAAACAGTGAAAATGGATGCGTCGCGGACCGGTTTCGAGAACGCAAACGGCGGCAGCCTCTGGGTGGCGCAAGCGTGGAGGCAGGAATAACGAAGCGAGGTTTGATGATCAAGGAGCGACTGACGATCTAGAGGTAGAGAGGCAGCAGAAATCGAGGACGTGCTAGTCAGCCCGAGGTTGAAATTAGTAAATCGGACGAGGTGAGGCAGGTGGACCTGAGGTGGGCGTGTTTTGGCAGTGACCGGGTTCGGGATCTCTCTAGCGTCGTTTCCAGGCACTTGTTCGCTAGTTGGTCCTTGTGGTCCACTGCGTTGGGACTGCGGTTGGGTCGGGGACTCGGGATCCAGCCGGTTGAGCCCGGGCGTGTTCGTATGGTTCCAGCTGATGGACCCAACAACAAACCTTCGGGGCTCAAAGATGAGGGCGGCGTTGGAGGTTGTTACTGTGTTCGAGATGGTGGAATGTAAGATGCCGGCAGTGCGTTTGTTTCGGGACGGCGATTAAATCAATTCCAAGCCGCAATGCCGTTTGGTACGCAAGGTTACCTAACCGTTACCGATCACAGAATTGAATGCCGTCGAGCGACGACTGAAGAGTCGAATAACAGTTTCAGGTATACGAGACAAGGAAAACTTGGATTGTGAAGATAAGGAGAGTCGATGTCTTAAGTGACGGTCAAGAGAACAAATGCGGTTGACAAAAGAATAACCTCCAAAAGAGATGACGAATGTGACAGGCTCCAGACCACGAGCAAGTCGTGTAGTAGTTGAAGAGCTGAGCCCGGTCACCCGTGAGCTCATCAGGACATGGCAGTGCATACGCGTCGAACGGGGCGGCGCATGCAGATCGACTCGCTTCAAAGCCACAGGGGCACTCAAGACGGGACGGAACGGGTCCGGACCGAATTGGATTGCGGGGCAGTTAGATGGGTAAAATGCATGGTTCCAATAAGGTAGAAAAAACACGCTGCGCGGAAGCTCAAGTAACAGTGTTTCAGTCAAGTCCCGTTAGGTATCGATAACTTCATATTCTCCACTCTGCTGTTTACCTCCATCAGGTACATACTTAGGTAGAGCCGACTTCACCAAGTCCCGACCTGCGTCTCGTCAAGAGTTCATGGATTCAGAACAACCTGCCCTTAAGAAGTTACCTCACTGTACCTCGTGCTGACTCGATTATCTATCACTGTCGCCGAAACGGCTGGGTTTAACCTACCATGTCAGCAATACGCGCCCTAAAGGGTGCCTTCACCCGCCGACCCTCACTATGGGCTAGACCATCGTCTCACATCGCCTTTCGGTCACCCATCTCACTACATCAGCCGCTTTCTCGCTCGAGAACTTACTCTGTAGATCAGTCCAGGGAGTCGAGCTTCCTTCAAGATTATTTCCAAGATCAGATTGAGAAGCCCAGAAGCCTAGAGAAACGCGATCGCTCCAAGCAGACCAAAGAGGCTCACTCCACGGATGGCACCGATTTCGATGACAGGGAAGATGAGTTTTCGAGGATACTGTCACCAAAGCAGGAGAAGCCGAAGAAGCCATGGCTCAAGAAAAGAGAGGAGAGTATTGCACGTCACGGCACGGCCAAAGCCGATGCTAGAAGAAGCAGAAAGACTGCCCGCAACATCGCCCTCCTGGAACAGGAAATTCGCAGGCGGCACGCCGCTGGACGTCCCGATGTCACATCTGCCATTGACCCTGAGCGATCTGAACTTACACCCCGCACTGCAAAGGAAGCGATTGCGCGCTGGCAGGAGTTGAAAGAGAAGGACGGTCATCACCAAGCAAAGGAGTCACGGGCTGTCAGGGCGCTGAAAAGAGACATCAGACGGGAGGCCAAGGAGGCAAGGATATTCATGGCATCGCAGGGCGCTGAGAAGTCTCGGGAACAGGAGTTGGAACAGGAAGAAAAGTTGGAGAAATTGAAGGCATCAATGGCGCAACGCAAGAACGCCGAATGGGAAGAGGAGGTGGTGCCGGTCAAGACTCGACGGGAGGTTTCGACACAAGCACAAAAAAACGCTGTTCAGACGCCAGAAGAGCCTCAAGAAAACGACTCACCAGAAGAAACGGCCGAGAACCCGAACGAATGGGAAGACGAACTGGACGATGAAGCCGAATGGGACGGTCAGGAGAAGCTGTCTGGAATAGAGCGGCGGCGGATGAAGCTCCTACTGCGGTTCAAGGAGGGTCTGCAGAAGAAGATGGGCATCCCAGTCGGCGACACAAAGCCGCATCCACAGATCGATGCTAAATGCGAAGTGTGGTTGCATAATAGGATTAAGGCGGAAAAGGACCGGGAAAAGAGGAAGAAAGATCGGATGGCGCGCGAGCATCAAAAGTTTCTGAGGAAGCTAGCGAAGAAGGCAAGGAAGAACGCAAACTAGCCGGGATGTGAATGTGCGAGCTGGAGATGAAGAGATGCTGTCGACTACGGCTGTTCCTGACTACTGAAGTGTAAGATGGCACAGAACTGCTTACTTGATTCAAAAAACATGTAATATGGGAAAGGACGTTCTACTTATACAGGGTGGAATCGCTTGATGGGAATTTCAGCAAAGGAGGAAGCTTCTAGTGAACGGATAGCTGAAAGCCAGAATGGCTGAGAGCTAAGAACATAAAGAACAAAAGGAAACAGAGCAGCGACAACGAATCCAAACAACAACTATCCGGATGAGGGTGTTGATCGTTATAGAGATACCTACCTGGATGCTGGTTGTCAACAAACAACCGTTTATGGCTGCACTTGAGTGTGTCACAAATCCAGTGAATTTTCGGTGGCAGAACAGTGTATGTCCTCGAATATACCTTAGCGTCCTATCACATCGTCGGGTTTTTGCTTATCGTTTTTGCATGAGATATCGCTGTATTGTACATATTAATATTCCCACCTCTCTCGTCCTCTCCGCGTACCTTTAGGAGGGAGAAGGCATCAGTCTCACGTAGCCCGACAAATACGTCCAGTCCTGTACTTTAACCTCGCCGGTTTTTATTTTGGAACATATTTGTACAACGTGACGTTCTTTCCTTCACAACCAGGCACCCTCAGCGGCGACAGTTTGCCCGTTGTCGAACGTAGTATGCAGTAATCATTGCTCATCCGCATCCTCAACCCGTATGTAGGAGCTCTCGTCTCAGACGGTAATCCAACATCCTCTTCTCCCTTCCTCCTGCGCCTCTTACTCCTTCTTCGGGGTATCATCACCATCCTTTCCCTTCTCATCCTTCTTCTTACCCTTACCCTCCTGATTCCAAACCTCCCAGATCTGATCCATGATCAAGCTCCCGTATCCCTTTCCACTCTCCAGCGCCTTCTTCTCCTCCTCCAGCCTCTTCTCCTTCCACCCTTCCCTCTCATCACCCATCCAAATCTTAGTCAACACTCCCCCATCCTTCTCATGCTTGTCATTTCGGTCTTGCTGCTCCTGCGCAAGCTTCCTCCTCGCCCTCTCCGCCTCAATCAAGGCCTTGTTCTTCTTGGCCTGTTCCGGCAACGCGTCGCCGGTAGACAGCACTTTGGCCCACTTCTCGTTGGACCGCTGGTAGATCGACTTGCCCGTGTAGTCGAACGAGAGCTGATTGAAGCCCCAGAAGGTGCCCGAACCTAGAATAGCGTTTTGCACGGAGAACTGGCCGCGCCCGCGACCGGGAAGAAGAAGACCAATGGGCGCGAGAATGGAAACGATGATGGCGGAGTTGTGCAAAAGGTTGGGCGTACCGTAGTGGTTCTCGGCTGAGGGTATGATCTCGGGGGTTTCTGGGGTCGTCGCCGCCGGCGCCGGGGCGGGAGTTTCTGCTGGTGGTTGGGAGGCCATTGTGAGGGCTGTTTCTGAGGGGACGGGATCCCTGGCTGACTCGATGAGTATCGGCAGTGAGATATTATTGGGCGCAAAGCGGACTGGAGATTTCTTCTTTTTGAGCCTCTCCGTCGTCTTGTCGCAAAGGTTCGGGCGGTTCGCGGAACGCTAGCCAGCGATGACCGCGCGTGCATTCGCACGGACCGTAAACCCCATCTTTTTTTTATCTTATCTCCCCGTCTGTTGTCGATAACGTAGGGCTGCAAGACCGGCGTCCGGCCAGCCCGGGCGACCCCCCCGTGGATCGCACCGACATGTCGCTAACCCGCGTCTGCAGGTGTAGCCGGTACTTAGGGGTTGTACGAGATGAACGGATAAACGCATACTTGAACCCTAGACTACTCAAAACACAGTTACTATGTAGGTATCGTAGCTAACCTTCATGACTTCTCTCGCAATTATCACATTGGAAATCCGCTGGATCGTGTCATCTCGCTCTATTCCCCCTGTCCTGACCTCTCATGTTCGGTTCCCTCTTCGTTTTCGTCGTGTACACCACGGTCATTTCCAACTTCCACCGCGACACCGGCTGCCATTTCGACCTCCTAATGGTCCACTAATTCAAACCATATCTACCCTGGAGCATGTGAACTACTCGACACCATCAGTGCTCGACATCGGTCTCTATCAACGGCGCTCCCGACACAGCGAGTCTTCATCCATCATTTTCCCAAAAAAAAAAAAAAAAATAATAATAAATAAAAAAAAAAAAAAAAAAATTTTAAAAATTTTAAAAAAAAAAATGGTCAACGCAGTGCATCATCAACCTCGAAATCACGCCTTTGCCGCTTTGACGCCCAACATTTTCCTTGGACGGCTGGTGCGGCACACATGTGTGTTATGGCATGCCTGCCACCGATAAGATTCAAGGCAAGCGGGCTTCCATCGCATGAAAGGCAGGCCCGGAATACATGTAATGGAACTCTCTTTATCTTTCAGCTTCAGTTGTCTCTATCCGCTCCGATATTGCGCCAAAAAAAAAATCCGCGACACGCGCAACACCAGGCAATGGTTGGTTGTTCATGGTGCGTGCGTGCACTCGTGTCAGTTACACAGAAGGAGGATTGCCCGACCCCTGGCTTTGGCTGGT